GGAGCTGCCTCTCCACAGATCTGACTTGTAACTTGATCTGGTTTAGTCTCCATGAAGATAGAAAGGTCTGTAGTATAACATCTTTATAGAGAAAAGCATTTGATGGTCCCTCCTCCAGAAAAGTTACAAAAATTATAGAATTTTGTATTAGTTTTTGTATTTTTTTAATTCACCTAGATTATATTTCTTTAAATATATATATGAATTGTGTGCTTAAAGTAAACTTATTTTTTGAAACTATTATTCTAATTTTGAGTGAAATAAGAATAAAAAGTCTTGAAAAATTGGCATATTATTCAGCAGGTACAGAAATGTATGAGCTAAAACATACAGTAATATGAGACTAGAGCTGTAGTCCTTTAGTTGATTAATTGGTCAATACAACAACAAGATCCACTAAACTCAGAGGTTAGCAGTGCAATTCCAACTCCCATGAACTGCTGAGGCTGTGTCCTTATGCAAGACACTTAACCCAGTGCCTGTGTACACTGGTGTGTGCTTGTGTGTGCTTGTGTATGGGTGAGTGGTTCCTTGATGTCAAGAGCTTTGAGCCTTGAAGGTGGAAAAGCGCTGAATAAAAATGTGACCATTTACCAATAACAGCAGAAAGGAATGCTGTTTACTCTTTTTTCATACAAATACACTTCTTCATACTTTTCTGTAAAAAACTTTGATTAACTCCCTTGAAAGTAGTATTTTGAGTGCAGTTTAGGTTAGATACATAGAGATACTTTTTGATAGTGCCAAACCACGCCTTGTTTTTGGTCATCTAAGTGATTGACAAGGCACGTCTTTAGCATAGATTGTCTAAGTGAACATGGGAGTGCTTCCTGCTCCATCAGCTCTGGCTCCAATTGACTTTAAATTGAAAGATGATCCCCCCTCTCTCTGTAACTGCTGCTGTGAACCTCATCATTTTGGTCTTTAAAAGTTCATATTAACTCTCTCTACATGATCCTGATGTTTTTAATTTCAGTATTTTGTCCGTAAAATCTATTCCTATTTCTAACATGGAACTGGCTCCAAATTCGCTCCTATAACTCCTTCACTGGAGCCAAACAGCTCCATTCTAAACTAGTCAAAACTACAAAAATCTGCTCGAATGAAAATCTGAAATATACAGTTCTAAATATTTTAGTTTTTTAGTGTATTTCAGCTCTCACTTTTGCCTTTTGCTCTCGTCTTGCAGGAACTCTGTAACTCTCCCATTCATTCACACATGACCGGTCTGTCCCTCTGCTGCCTCTGTGCTTTGTCACCTGCTTTTGTCAAGTAAAAAAAAAAAAAAACACAAAGAGGAGGAGAGAGAAGCGACCTCGATGGTGCCAGAAAAGACTAAACCTGTGCCTCCACCAGCCCCTCGTTCTCCCACTTTCTCTGTGGTGTTTTGTTTTGTTGTTTACGGACGCTGCAGAGGTCAAAGGTCAGATCCTGTGTGGGTTTTGCCGCTGTCACCTAAATTCCTCTAGTTCTTTTTTCTACCTGTGAAGAGGAGCGGAGCTGTTCTTTCACTTCAGCAGTTTTATATGAACAAGAACAGCATGACTAAAATACCTCTGGTACCTGACGAGACAGCTGACAGTGCTTTTGAATGAGGGACATGTTTTGAAAAATGGTTAAAGTCACAATTGCCATTTTAAATAATATGCTTAATTAAAATAAACAGTATATTTTCTATTATTTAAACTTAAAAAGGCGACAAAAGGTCAAATTAGAGCACACATGTTTTGTTATTTGTGACTAATAATGCAAAATTACTCAAACATGTGTGAATGAAACAAAACAAAACATAACTCCAGATATGTTTTTGAGGCAGTAACTGCATTATAACATGGCTTTAAGATTTAATTTGACCTTTTGTCGCCTTTTCAAGTTTAAATAATAGAGAATATACTGTTTATTTTAATTAAGCATATTATTATAACTGGCAATTGTGACTTTAACCATTTTTCAAAACATCTCCCTCATTCTGTCTCGTCAGGTACCAGAGGTATTTTAGTCATGCTGTTCTTGTCCATATAAAACTGCTGAAGTGAAAGAACAGCTCCGCTCCTCTTCACAGGTAGACTAAAGAACTAGAGGAATTTAGGTGACAACGGCAAAACCCACACAGGATCTGACCTTTAAACTCCATACTAGGGTTGGGCAGTATCCAGATTTTGATACTGTTAAACCTTCTTTAACCAGGGCATACAGTATTACAGTATTACCATATTACCAAAACGTTTTAGTACGACTTTGGTAAGCGAAGCCACACTGCTATACGGTCTATGTGTATGACCTACAGACTTATAAAATCCGAAAAGTTTCACATAAACCATCTCCAACATGACACACGCACAGAACAGACTCACCATCATCATCAACATCCCTCTGTCACAGAAAGAACACTCATATTCCACTGAGTCCTCTCCTTTAGTCCAACAGAAGCTGAACCGTATCAGTGACACAAGGAAAGATCTGTTTTTATCAGTGCTTATAATTTATGCAAATGAGCCATGTGGTTTTAAGTTTTGTTTCTGTAAAATGTAAACAAATGTGCGCCTGAAGCCAAAATGCTGCCAAATTGCAGAAATACTAGTATTATTTTATAGACCCACTAGTTTGTGGCCAGACTTGCCGTCTTGTCTTACGAGCGTCACTTGACAACAGAACGAAACAAATTGAACGTCATCTTCCCACGCAGTTAAAAGAAACATTATACACACTATTAGTTTTGAATCATGATAACATTAAATTGAAAATACAACCACACGTTCATTTGTGCTGAGCAAACAAATGTAAGTATCAATAAATTATAATTATAATTATATTAGGTCCTTAGGCGCTGCAGATTTTTTTTAATGACGGTAATAAAACTGATACTGTTGCTGCTTTTTGATTACTGCCCAACCCCACTCCGTACATTTTCACTAGTTTTGGAGATGTAGACAGACTAATAATGCAAGATTACTCCAACATGTGTGAATGAAACAAAACACAACTCCAGGTCTGTTTTTGATGAGGAAACAACATTCTCACATGGATTAATGCTCTCAACAGTGCTTAACACAAGACCTTTAATGCCGTACTGTGGAACATTCCAGTCAAAGCAGTAACCACCGACGCCCTGCTACTCTTTTGCAGTGAACATATCGACCAGCCATCTCCTCGAGCTCCACTTTTGAATAACATTTTCCTGTCTACACTTGTTTTCTTCTACTATAAATTATACATGGCCCATATATCTCCGAGTCTATGGAAAACACAGGCCAGCGGATTCACTTCTTCACGCTGAGTTCGAGTGATGCATATTCATGTGTTATCTGCTGGAGGCCTCTCATCTTATAAATGCTATGTGGGCTTTTGTGGAATTTCCGTTGTGAAGTGTCCCTCCCTGAACAGATCTCTATCTTCTCCAGGACATGATCATTGAGCAGGATTCTTAAATGTACCGTAATTTCAGTAAATTATGGACTCTAAAAACACCCATCCTCCAGTTATGCAACAAGCCTACAATTTGGGATAATTTTTTGGATCTGTGAAATGCTAGTTTGTAAATATGAAGATTATGGGAGACGGTATTCAGGCTTTTAGTGCTGATGATACAGACTGCTATTTCAACATATATATTTTAGAACTTTGAATCCTTTGCCTCAGCATTCCTCTTGTCCTAGATGGAGAATATTACAGTGCATGTTTTAAGTAGGGCTGTGAATAGTACAGTCCCCCCACTATTATATATAATACGCAATCCATGGCTTACCAACAGGATTCTAAAGGTTTAAAGGATTTTACGCAAAATTGACTCTTGTGAGCTTTAAGTCACATTAGAATGTTGTTATCTCTTCAAAAACATACCCGGAGTTGTGTTTTGTTTCACTCACATGTTTGAGTAATCCTTTGTTATTAGTCTGTCTACGTCTCCAAAGCTCAAAATGCTCTGTCCCACCTTGTGATGTCATGAAGCGAATGAATTTTCCAGTTGACAGCTACATTTTACCTTAGGTTCAATAGAGATTTGCAATTCCAGATGATTTTAATGATGGTGCGTGGAGTTTAAAAACACAGTGGAGCACTTCCTGTATTACCACATGACATCACAAGGTGGAAAAGAGTGCTATGTTTGAGAGAAGAACAAAGCCTATAGATGCAGGGTTTTTATTTTAAACAGTTTAGTCCTGATTTAGTCTTGGTTTAATCCTGCTTTAATCTTGGTTTATAGTGTTGGTTTAGACCTGTTTTAGACTTGGTTTAGTCCTGGTTTAGTCTTGGTTTAGTCTTAGTTTAGACCTGGTTTAGTCTTGGTTTTTAGTGTTGGGTTAATCCTGGTTTAGTCTTAGTTTAGATTTGGTTTAATCCTGGTTTAATCCTGGTTTAGTCTTGGTTTAGACTTGGTTTAATCCTGGTTTAGTCCTGGTTTAGTCTTGGTTTATAGTGTTGGGTTAATCCTGGTTTAGTCTTGGTTTAGACTTGGTTTAATCCTGGTTTAGTCCTGGTTTAGTCTTGGTTTATAGTGTTGGGTTAGTCCTGGTTTAGTCTTGGTTTAGTCTTAGTTTGTAGCGTTGGTTTAGTATTGATTTAAACCTGGTTTAGTCTTGGTTTAGTCCTTGTTTAGTCCTGGTTTAGTCTTGGTTTATAGTCCTGATTTAGTCTTGGTTTATAGTGTTGGTTTGGTTAGTCCTGGTTTAGACTTGGTTTAGTCCTGATTTAGTCTTGGTTTATAGTGTTGGTTTAGTCTTGGTTTAGCCCTGGTTCAATCCTGGTTTAGTCCTGGATTAGTCTTGGTTTAACCCTGGTTTAGTCTTGTTTTTTGTAGTGTTAGTTTAGTCTTGGTTTAGTCCTGGTTTAGTCCTGGTTTACTCTTAACACATGTGAATGAAACAAAGCACAACCCCAGGTCTGTTTTTGAGGATTACAACTTAAAGCTCACAAGAGTCCATTTTGTGTAATCTATGCCCTTTAATGAAAAACATTTAAGCCAATTTAACATGATTTCTTTTTTTCTCTCTCTTTTCCAGGATGATCGGCTGCACACCATTCCTAATAATCGCTTATTTCTACCTCTGGTTCGTCCCTCCGTTCCTGAACTGCCGTTTTATCTGGTATCTGGGCTTCTACTGCCTGTACCAGACCCTGATCACCGTAAGTACAAAGCTGTGTCCTCTTTCTTTATGCATGCTATACCTCCTCCACAGCACCTCACGCTTGAGTAAAATGATGTGATCGGACTTTACATGGAGCAGAGAGGGAGTTTGTAGTGCTTCTTTATGGAAAAGAAATGTGAAGAGCCTATATTGTGCTATTTTCTTCATCAAAAACAGACCTGGAGTTGTGTTTTCCTTCATTCACACATGTTTAACGCACAAACACTGCACATTTAGACTGAGTTCTTCTCTAAAAACTGAAAATACTTTGTTCCACCTTGTTATGTCATGAATGAACTGGAAGATTTAAGCTCTGAAATTGCCAATCTCTACTGAATTAAAAGTAAAAAAGTAGCTGTTAACTTGAAAACTACCACTACATCACATCACAAAGTCGAACAGAGCATTTTGAGATTTGGAGATACACAACTCCAGGTATGTTTTTGATGAAGTAACAATATTCTAACAGGCTTGAAACTCTCAAGAATAAATGTCGCGTAATATATGACTTTAAATACAGTATATAAACCCTTAAAAGTGCAGAGTGGCTCTTACTCGATGTGTTATGTAACAGCAGGACCGAACAGAACAAGGTTGTGAATGAAATGAAGGGGGAAGTTGACATTTACACCATGCCAGCTTTCCACAGCACATACAAGTATTTTTAGCCTGCTTTTAGTATAGTTTAGTAGTAGTAGTAATTGTAGTAGGTTTGGGTGGAGATACTTTATTGATCCTGAGGGAACTTCAAGTAGTAACAGTAGCAGTAGTATTAGTAGTAGTAGTAGCAGTAACAGACTTTTGCACCTTTTTCTTTTCACTGCTTTTGATTTAGTTCAGTAGTAGTAGTATTTGTTGTTGTAGTAATAGTGGTAGTAATAATAGCAGCAGCAGTTGTAGTAGTAGTAGTAGCAGTAATAGTAGTTGTGGTGGCAGTAGTGGTAGTAATAATAGCAGCAATAGTTGTAGTAGTAGTAGCAGCAGCAGCAGTAGTAGTAGTAATAGTAGTAGCAGTACTAGTAGTTGTAGTAGTAGTAGTAGTAGTAGTTGCAGTAGTAGTAGCAGTAGTAGTAGTAGCAGTAGAAGTAGTGTTAATAGTAGTAACAGTAGTAGTAGTAGTAGTAGTAGTATAGTAGTAGTAGTAGTAGCAGTAGTAGCAGTAGTAGTAGTAGTGTTAATAGTGTTAATAGTAGTAACAGTATTAGTATTAGTAGTAGTAGTAGTAGTAGTAGTAGTAGTAGCAGCAGCAGCAGCAGCAAGCAGCAGTAGTAGTAGTAGTAGTTGTTGTAGTAGTAGTAGTAGTAGTAGTAGTAGTAGTAGTAGTAGTAGTAGTAGTAGTAGCAGCAGTAGTAGTAGTGGTAGTGGTAGTAATAATAGCAGCAGTAGCAGTTGTTGTAATAGTAATAGTAGTAGTAGTAATAGTAGTAACAGTAGTAGCAGTAATAGTAGTTGTAGTAGTAGTAGTAGTAATGTTAGTGGTAGTAATAATTGCAGCTGTAGTAGTAGTAGGAGTAGGAGTAGTAGTAGTAGTTGTTGTAATAGTAGTAGTAGTAGTAATAGTAGTGACAGTATTGGTAGTAATAATAGCAGTAGTAGTTGTAGTAGTAGTAGCAGTTTTGACAGTAGTGGTAGTAGTAATAGTAGTAGTAGTAGTAGCAGCAGTAGCAGTAGCAGTAGTATTGTTAGTAGTAGTATGTTATATAAGGCGTCTCTTGATATCTATAGAACTTCATTCATCATGTCCTCCTCTGTGCTCGTCTCCATGGAGATGTTGGAGGTTTGCCGGGATGTTCCACAGTGTGCCATTCATCATACCTATCATGATGCATGTACTCAATTACACTGTATTTTATTAGAATACTTTGCAAAATATGACTTGTAACTCGGCCTGGTGGTGGTGGTGGTGCTTGTTTATCTCTATGTGGGAATAGATAAAGACATACTGTGTAATATTCCAGGAAAAAACTACTGGACAGCAGGTTTAGACACATAGTTTAAGTTCCCATATTCCACTATTTATTTTCTGATCTCTGTTAGCCTTGGTTTAGTCCTCATTTAGTCTTAGTTTAGTCCTGGTTTAATGCTGGTTTAGTCTTGGTTTAGTCCTAGTTTAGTCCTGGTTTAGTCTTAGTTTATTTCTGGTTTATTGTTGGTTTAGTCTTAGTTTAGTCTTGGTTTATAGTACTAGTTTATCTCTGGGTCAATCCTGGTTTAATGTTGGTTTAGCCCTGGTTCAGTCCTGGTTTAATGTTGGTTTAGTCCTGGCTTAGTCCTGGTTTAGTCTTAATTTAGTCCTGGTTTATAGTGTTGGTTTAGTCCTGGTTTAGTCTTAATTTAGTCCTGGTTTATAGTGTTGGTTTAGTCCTGGTTTAGTCCTGGTTTCCTGTAGGTTTAGTCTTAGTTACTCTTGGTTTATAGTACTAGTTTATCCCTGAGTCAATCCTGGTTTAATGTTGGTTTAGTCTTTAGTCCTGGTTTAGTCCTGGTTTAGCCTTGGTTTAGTCCTGGTTTAGTCTCGGTTTGTAGTGCTGATTTAGCCTTGGTTACATCCTGGTTTAATGCTGGTTTAGTCCTGGTTTAGTCTTGATTTAGTCCTGTTTTAGTCCTTGTTTAGTCCTGTTTTATTCCTGGTTTAGTCTTGGTTTAGTTCTGGTTTAGTCCTGGTTTAATGCTGGTTCAGTCCTGGTTTAAAGCTGGTTTAGTCCTGGTTTAGTCCTTCTATCTAAATTCTTGCTTGTACATGAAAACACAAATATTACCGCTGCACGTCATCACATAGTCTTTGCTTATTTTTGTCACTGCTTTGCTGCATCGTAAACCTCTGTGGCCACACGCTTGGACCGCGTCATGACCAGTCATTCTCACTCCTCAATAAGTACACGGTGTTTTGTGCCAGTAACCTCCGTGCAGCTAAATGCCACTTACCACTTTTAGCTCATTGTCTCGTGTTTGTGCGACGCTCTTGGGACCGGCCAGATGTTGGGCTGGGTACACTTTAAAGGCACCACTACGGATGAGCTACTGTAAACAAATTGTAAATAGGACTGGCAGTCACAGAGTCCCTCACGATTTGATACGATACTCGATACTTAGCTCCCGATACCATCTTATCACGATATGGTGATACATGTGATAATTTGACATAATATATTGCTTGTTTTTATCATTTTATTTATTGTTTTTTATGAACCAAACACATTTTCGCAACAGTAATTCTTTGTTAAATCAATTCTTGTGCAAAGTTAATATTAAATCCATCTATTTTAATCATCAAAACACTGAGTATGTCAAGAGTATTACAAAAAAACTAGTTTCCTTTCACTAAATAAGCAACAAAATTGTAGTACGGTCACAAAAAAATTGCTAAAACATACCAAAAAATACTCTTATATCGATACAGAAACTCACAACGAAACCAAAACTCACAATATAATTTTGCACACCCCCAATTAAGGCTGTGCAATTAATGGAATTTTGATCGCAATTTCGATTTGTGTGTCAAACGATCTCCAAACTCATATAATTGAGCTGAAATTATTTAAGCTTAGCAAAGTTTATTGTGGGATTTTTAAAAATATAAATAAGTATATTTATTTAGTTTTTTAAATAGAGAGATTATAGAACAGCTGGATATATGTATAGTTTATTTTGGGTGCATTTATGTTTTTCTATGCCTTATTTCATGTTTAATTATAAAATTAAAAATGTAATTAAAATTTAATTTAATTTTAAAAAGCTTATTCATTTTATGTTTTTTAAAACTGCTCTTAGGTTCATATTTGTAGTCTATATTTATTTTCAATTTGAAAGTTTTGCGTAAATTATCAGTAACAAAGTGTTTTTTTGAGAGAGAGAAATGCTAAAAAACTTTTAAAAAAAAAAAATCATTTGAATAATCTGACCAAAATAATCGTGATAATGATTTTGTCCATAATCGATCAGCCCTAACCCTTATCGTAAATAGCTGTTTTTATCAGCAGGTTTAAAGGTGCACTGTGTAACTTTTAATGGAGGGTCCGTCACAAGCTCCTCTCTGTTGCCTGGAATGTTCCACAGTATGGCATTACACTTATTCATCCTTATAGAGACAGCAGGTGACGTCATAGGGCCAAGTTATATGTCAGATCTGCGTAAAAATGCAGGTTTTTAAGTCAATAAAAACCCATGTTATTGAGTAAATAGTAAATGGATATGTTTAAAGATGCACTGCGCAACTTTGCTACCTTCTTGTTTCCATGGAGATGTGATTGCTTTCCCTGGAATGTTCCATGGTATGACTTAATGTAGCGTAGAGCTGTATCTGCTTGTGGAAGACAGGTTTAATCTATATGAGGAACATTCAAGACAAAGCAATAACGTTTCCATGGAGACAAACCGAGGACCATCCACTAGAAAACGCAGTGCACTTTTAATGCCGTACTGGGGACAACAACAAAACAACAACATCACCATGGAGATGAGCAGATGGCGCACCCTCCACCCGAAAGGTTACATGGTGAACCTTCAGATCAATCACCGGGTAAATTAATGCATGTCCCAGCATTTTCTCCGGTAAACAATTGCACGCTGAAACGGCTGCTTAAATGACATGTGTGTATACTTTTCATGGTCAGTGTATTTTTGTCGTGCCGTTTGGCCACAGGCTGCAGTGGTAAATTACAAAGCGAGGGCGGATATGGTCCATTCTCCGGGATAGGTGGTGAGGAGAGAGACAGAGAGCTGAGGCTAGCATGAATGGCTCGGAAAGTGCCGAGATTGCTGTTTGATAGATATATATAAACATGCTATAGCCGTGTTTCCCCCAGTGCAGGGCGGATTAGAGGCGTCCCGGAGCTTTGTACGTCTGCGTGTGACTGTCAAAAATAAAAATATATCTCAAGTAAAGTCAATTTCTCTTGTTTTTTTCTCTTTCCAGTGCTTCCATGTGCCTTATTCGGCCCTCACCATGTTTCTGAGCACAGAGCAGAAGGAGAGAGACTCAGCCACTGCCTACAGTAAGAACAATAATTTAATATATGTATAAAACAATAATGTATAATCAGTGCTTCCAAATTATAGAGGATTTTTTAACAAATTCATTTTTACCCCATAGTCTAAAAATTTTATTAAAAAAATGCTAATTATACTGTCTTAAAAGTGCACTATGTAACATTTTGATTGGGGGGGTCATGTGCTCGTTTCTATGGAGATGTCATTGCTCTACCTGGAATGTTCCACAGTATGATTTTAAACAGCTCACCTTACATTTATTCAATAACTAATGAATAAAATATTCTCTAATAAGCAACAAATGTATGAAATATTATAAAAAATTCCTTGTAAACAGTAAACAAAACTTTTCAGAAAGTAAACAGCACTAACAGTTCCAGGATGAAGTTTTGCTCAATCTTCATATTTTTGACCAGAAAAAACAACTTGTCCACATTGTCAGCAGTAAGTGCAGATCTGCTGCAGTTATGATGTCCTCAGTGACTGAAAACACACTTTCTCTAAAGACAGAGGTAGCAGGTATGGGGGGGAGGTGGGGAGGTGGGGGGTGGAGATTAGGTGCTGGCCTGCGAAAGGTGAAAGTGAGGACCGCAGCGTGACATCCGTAGTTTTGTGAGGATTCACGTGGTTCGGAGGGACGTAGTCAAGGCGGGGGGCAATTGTTGTGAAGACGTCCGTCCTAATTATAAGCGCTGTGGGAAACACTGCTGCCCCAATCACGGAAGAGTTCCCTCATGAATAGTAAAGAGCCGAGCCTCCGTGTAGCTGCACAGGTCGTGGTGGAATGTAAACACATACAAATTGCGTGAAGTCACTCGAACACAGCCCTGCACCAAACTGAACGTCTTGTACGAAAACGGTTCTGCATGAATACATGTACTTTTACACCCCTATCAGTGACAGGAGAAATTTTGCTCAAATATAAAGTACAAAGGTTCCTCACTCATGTAGAAGTACACAGGAGTGCTTAGAGAAATGACTCAATCCTTTTCTCTCCATTTTAATCTACAACTGTCCTATCCAATAAAGCCTGCAGTAAGGGCCAGATCATGATCAAATATCAATATAGTGATTCTCAACATGCAAAAATTTATTCTGAAAATTGCTGTTTATTGATCAAATTGTAGGTATTGTGCTCAAAAATATTATCAGTATCGCTATCACGAACTTCAAGACTGAAAAGCACATGACTAATAAAAAACAGATAGGCCCATACTTTGAATTCAGGGCAATTTTATAACATCACCAAGGTAACGTGGAAGTATGTGGTGAAAAGTTACACAGTGCACCTTTAAATATCACGTTTGTTATTGACAGGAATGACGATGGAGGTGATGGGGACTCTGGTTGGCGCGGCGATCCAGGGCCAGATCGTCGCCAGCGCCCACACCCGAAAACACTGCCACAACTTGACGACCGCCGCCACCACCGCCGGTTTCCATGGCAACATCAGCCGCGCGGAGATCGTGCGGAGCCTGGTGCGCTCCCAAGACTACCTGTCACAAGCTGTAAGTGTCTCCTCGTGCAGAGTACAGCCAGGTGTGTTCAAACTGGGACACTGTGACTTTGAGAGGAGCAGAGTCGGTGTGCAGAGCTTCTGTTGTTGTACCTGCAAAATGTTCCCTGCAAAAGTCAGCCCACAGAGACTCACACACTGATCTTTTCTCCTTGTATTTTTGCAAAAGCATAACTGAGTATGAGGTCTGACTATACACTTTTTTACATTTTACATCCACCTAAAGACTTCCATTTTGTCTTTCTGGTTCATGTAGACAAACATTATTGATCCGCAAGGGAAATGATTTGGACACTGTAGCTCACACATCACAATATAATAAAATAACAAAGAGCAACAATATAAATGGTAAGAATAAATTCAAAACAAGTAGCAACAATCAGAAGATACTGGTGGCATAATTATATAAATGTATATGTACAAGTGAAAAAAAGAAATATAGTTGTGAGACATAAATAACAGTTACATAACACATTTGTCTTATTTAATTTTAGTTTAAAGGTGCATTGTGTACCTTTTCCAGTGTATGGTCCTTCAAATGTGTTTCTCCATGAAGATGTTATTACTTTGACTGGAATGTTTCACAGTGTGGCATTAATGCTTCATGAAAACCAGACCAGTGGAGAGGGGACTCCGCTCACAAGTCAGAATGCCTGTTTTTCTAGGTATTTTTGAGTTATAAAACCTCATCTAATTGAAGAACTGTAAACAAGAGCTGTTTAATGTCACACTGTGGAACATTCCAGGCAGAGCAGTTAAGCAGGTCGGGCCAGGTCAGAATACACTAGACGGTTCGCAAAAACCCTGGAAGTGCGAGTTCAGGCACCAGCCAATCAGCGAAGAGCCAGACATTCTGTGTTGGCAACGATTCCCGAGATCGAGGATTTAAAGTCGGAACAAAGAGAATGTTTAGTGAATTTTATCAAAGGTAAAGACATTATTGTCCTTCTTCCTACGGGATTTGGGAAAGGCTTAATATACCAGTTAGCCCCGTTAGCGGAGCATTACATACGTCAAGACCAAATAGCAGCGATTGGTTAAATTAAAATAAGTACCCGCCTACCGTTGAGCGAACAAATCCTAATGCTGCGAGGTCAGATGGTTTCCACGATGATGAATCAGGCTAAGGTGACGGACCCCTAACCAAAAAGTTACACGGTGCACTTTTAAGAAAATAAATGCTGTTTTCAGTCTCAGTTGTTATCGGATATTGGCATACTTAAAGCTATAGTATCGGAATTAGAATTGGTGACTGAACTGAAAGAGCTGGATTGTGCATGCCTAATCTCCATGAAAACAGTGGAGGTGGAGCAAAAGTTACATAGTGCACTTTTACTTTGCCTGAGTAGCTAGTCTCTTCTACTGTACATTCTGTTTGAATCCAGAAGAGACTGGAGTTGGACCACAGAGCGTGATTAGTGATGCTCGTAGAGGGTGTTGGTGCACAATGACAACCACATATTGGTCAGTTTGCCTCAGGACAGTTGGGGGTGCTCCAGTAGCTCATTATCACCCAGTATCACCAGTGTGTGTCCAAGGAGAGAAAAACCCTTTGGCTGTTTATTGACCCAATAGCACAGCAGAAAATGGGGTCTGTGTCTGTAGATTAGACTCATAATCCTAAAAATACATCACTCACACAATAATAAGACTTGTATCCAGGTTTTACTTTCAAGATAAGATAATAATAATCACATTTTAATCTTATTTCAGTACTGGTTTCTATATTGCCTCTAGTACAATTATTTTTCTGGAACCAAAACGACTCACATCTTCTGAATTTGGCTTGTAAGAGTCTGAAAAAAAGTCTAAAAAAAGTCTTCACCAATTTCTTCACGTATTTTCAACATCTTAAGAATCAACAAGTAAATAGAGGATTTCCTTCATATCCTAAAGTTAAAGCCTTGATGTCAAAGTAGTTCAGTTTTGTTCACCAAAACATTCAAGGAGATAGAGGAGGTAGATTTTTTTGGCAGCCATTTGCAACAGATGGTGTAAACCCGAATGAAATGTTTCTAAAATTACGCCCCATTTGCTTTCGAGCACATTTTTACCTTAAGCTTCGGCTTTACCTTGTTCATTTTCTTCAACAAATCCTCTATATTATCTTGACCTTTTTTGACAAATGGTTATTACAATTTGCAGTTATTTGGCTTAAAGGTCCTATATTATGCAAAATTGACTCTTTTGATCTTTAAGCCATGTTAAAATGCTGTGATCTCCTCAAAAACTGACCTGGACTTGTGTTTTGTTTTATTATAGTCATTTTTATTAGTCTGCCTACATTGCCAAAGCTCTGTTCCACTTTGTGATGTCATGTAGTGGCAGTTTTAACAGCTCCTTTTTACCTTTAGTTGAGTAGAGATTGGCAATTCCAGGTCTGAAATTATCCAAATGATTCTTGTGAAGGTGTATGGAGTTTAAAAACACAATGAAGCACTTTTTTTATCATCACATGAGAGAAGAAGTGAGCCTAAGGGTCGAATTATAGTTCTGCATCGACTCAAGACACACTGCCGCTGTCGCCTTGTCGCCGTCATTTTTGATGGCCGGATCTGCGTCGAGGTCTGTGCGCCGTGAAGTAATTCAACGCCACAACATTAGGAGGCGAGGACTTTAAAACTGGCATTCGTGTTAATAACAGAAGCGGGAAAGCGGAAAGAGAGGATCAATCACAGCTCTTCCCCTTGCTGTCTGCGTCGGTTCAATACTTAGTTAGAATCGTCATATTGCAGGCGATTTGACGCATGACCATAAATTTGGCTTAAATATGCACTGTTTGTGTGCACTGCGTAACATTTCTAGTGCAGGGCCCGTCACCTGAAGTCTCCATGGAAATGTTGCTGCTTTGTCTAGAATGTTCTACACTTTAGACTAAACCTATTGCAACTATCACATCAAGGGAGACAAGCAGGTTACAGTTCAGATCTGTGGAGAGTCACCACTATTCACAGAAGGAATTATTGTACTTTTTAGCAATAGAAACACCCATAATGAATAAATGTTTAAAGTCACATCATGGAACATTCTCTGCAAAGGTAAGGCAAGGCAAGGCAAGTTTATTTGTATAGCACAATTCCGTACACAAAGTAATTCAAAGTGCTTTACAGAATAAGAAATACATTAAAATCACAATATAAACAAATCAAAACATCATAAAATTAAAAAGAGAGAGACATTAAATTAGAGAGAAGAGTGCGGAATGAAAAATGAAACCTTTCAGTCATATGCACAGCTAAACAGAACGGATTTGAACTTTAATTTAAACATAATTAAATGTGTGACTGACTCCAGGTCTGTTGTGATGAGGGAACATTATAACATAGATCAGAAAATAGGATCATATGGGCACTTTAAAAATGATTATAAAAATGACTGGAAAATATCTGCATTAACCACACACTTCCACACACTCTGCTTGGGTCTCTGTCACTCAAACTCCTTCAAGTTAAACCTTCCTAATGGTGGGATCGAGCGAAGAGGCGTCTTGTTTGAAATCTGATCTTCGTATCCTGGATCAGCCACACTGTCCTGACCACAAAGGGGCTCCCTCACATCTCAGGCCAAACTCTGGGGTCCCCTGTGTCTGTTAGCCATTAGCACTATTTATGTCACACCCACAGAATATGGAGGCATCAGAGCTTCACATGAGCTGAGGAAACTGAGCTCAACTTAAAGGGCCTATATTAAAACAAAACGGACTCCTGTGAGCTTTTAGTCATGTTATAATGTGGTTCCCTCCTCAAAAACAGATCTGGAGTTGTGTTTTGTTTCATTCACACATGTTTGAGTAATCCTGCATTATTAATTCTCTGTTCCGCCTTGTGATGTCATGAAGTGGTTGGTTTCAAGTTAACAGCTCCTTTTACCTTTAGTGTTTCTAAACACATCAAAACACAAATCCAGGTCTGTTTGTGATGAGGAAACAACATTAGAACATAAATCAGAAAATAGAGTAATAAGTGCCCTTGAAAGGTGCAATATGTAACTTTTCTGGTGAGGGGCTGTCACATTCTTGTTTCATGAAAATCTGATTATTTTACCTGAAATGTTCCATGGTATAGTAAAAATATATGTATTCATTTATTTAATTACAGGTGATTTAAACAACAACCCTCTGTAAAAGCTAATAAGTAGACCTTATTTGAAAAAATCTAGGAAACCTATTGCCTTGAAAATGTATTTCACTAAAGTGGAGTGTGAGTTTACAAGTAAGTCCTCAGTAAATTCCTCTTTTATCTAACTCGGCACAGCAGGTGAAGTGAAGTTTAGTTTTCATTCACAGAACTCATGTTGTGAAGCTGTGCCAACGAATCAGTCAGATCTTTAAATCTGAAATATGTAGTAACTTTTACTTTAAGAGTAAGTTCATCTTTCTTGGTAAAACCATAGAAACTAAGTAAACTAAGTAAATGTTACTTATAAACACAAGTTAGAGTAAAAACAGGTTCTATTTTACAAGAATGCCATTTAGATCTGCATCAGGTACACAAAGATTTGAATATTTATTAGTCTTTCAAAAAAATGTAGCAAAACTTTTGATCGGATTTGTTCAACATCTTAGTATTTGAAGATTCAAGGATTTATTGTCATTTTCACAAGTGTCTCTCAAACATGTGTGAATGAAACAAAACACCACTCCAGGTCTGTTTTTGAGGAGGTAACAACATTTTATCATGGCAGTTTTAGGTGCACTGTGTAACTTTTCTGGAGGGTCTGTCTGATACCTGTTTGTTTCCATGGAGACATTAATACTTTGCCTGGAATATTCCACAGTTTTTTTCCTAACATCATTCATTTTACAGGTATTTTTAATTCTTACAAATACGTTCTTCAAAAATTTGGCGTAGTGGCGTCCATGAAGTTTAATGCCTTATTGTGGATCATTCTGGGCAAAGCAATAACATCTCCATGGAAACAAGCAAGTGGCATGTACTGCACCCTTAAATATGAGTTGCTCGACTGTTCAAAAGCAGTTTAAAAAGACAAAAGATAGGACATAAAACTTAAAATTTAAATGGGAAAACCTTGGAGTCACCTTGTAAATGTAAGTTTAAAGGCACGCTATGCAACTTTTCAGGCAGAGGATCCATCAACTGTCTCCATGTTTGCATCACACCCCCATCTGCAATATATCAGCAGTGTTTTCATATGCAGATTTCACTGTAAACAACTCCAAATAACTCAGAGTAAACAGCCTGTACATCCAGTATTTGACTTTGCTTTCACATAAAACAACTGTAGAGCGCCTGCCCCATGTTTGTGCACCACAGCTATTTGTACCTCTGCTGGTTCTTTCCATGGCAGTTTCAGTGAACCTTTTTGGGCCTGAATTCTAAACCAAACCAGAGCTGGATTCTTCCGTGGTCTCTGTGGTCAGGGCGGTGCGAGGAAATGGGACGTGTTTGAAGTGCATAAATAATAATGAACCGCTGGGCCTTTCCGCATCAGAAAATACTAAACAAATAGAGGTTGTTTAAGGCAGAGCAGTTCCTGGTTCCGGTTGAGGTCTGGAGCCCAAATGGTTAAAGATTTATTTTAGTAAACGAAGCGATTTGAGTTTTCTTCCTGTTTGTCAGTTTGTGCAGAGATGTGATGGGCAGGATAGTAAACTAAAGAAAGCAGAAAGCGAATGTTGTTTATTAAAACTTCCATGAACTTAAAGCTGCACTGTGTAACTTTTTGGAAGGGGGTCTGCCACCTGCTTGTTTCTATGGAGATGTTATTTCTCTGCCTGGAAAGTTCCACAGTGTGACATTAAACAGCTCTACTTTACATTTATTCAATTAAATGTGGTTTTATAGCTCAAAAATACCTAGAAAAACAGACTTTCTAACTGTGAGCGGGGTTGCCTCTCCACAGATCTGACCTGTAACTTGGTCTAGTTTGGTCTCCAATATAGAAAGGTTTAAAGCCATACTGTGAAACATTCCAGACAAAGCAAAAACATCAAGTATTTGATGGAGGCTCCATCAGTAAGTTTCACAAAGCGCTTTCAAATTATTTTTTATTATTTTTTATTTTTTTATAGGGATGTAACGAATCCAAATCTCTCAATTAGATATAATCATGATATTTTGGAGAAGCTGATTAAACTGTAGTTAAGACGTTTTTTTGCTTTTAAAATACCCTGACAATATTTTGGTGTGAATTATTTCCATCATAATCCGAAGAATTCACATAAAAACATATAACTTCATGTTGTCTGTGCTGAAATGAATCATGGGATATGTAGTTCCCAATGTTTATTAGCTATTGCTACTATAAAAAATGCATTTAAGCAAAGGAACTTGTATTCGATATGTCGTGACAGTCCACGACATTATTGTGAGACTTTTGACGATACAATACCACGATATTTCAGTTATTGTTGCATCTCTACTTATTTATTATATTATAGCATGATATGGAATTTGTATTTTATTTCCTGTTGTTGAAATTAGGATAGATCCCCTTTAAATTTGAATTTAAAGATGGATCATGTAACTGATGGCAGGTCCACTGCTCTAGCTCCATCTATATTTTATCTCAACTGTGACCAGAAAACTCAAATAAAAGTAAAAGTATCACAGAAAAAAATCTATGTAACTTATCGTATTTAAGTACCTGTTTAGAATTGTACTTAAAGAGTAAAAATTAAAAGTATTTTATGCAGATTTCGAGGTCTAATAAAGCTTCAAATGTAGTGATTTTGATACAGATTTGTGCCGAATTTTGTTCAACAGAAAGAAATGAATCCGTTTTTTACCTAGTTTTTAATGTATATATTTTTTTGTTTGTTTAAAATAAACCCTCAGCCTTTTCAGCAGGTCTCACACAAAAATTAAAAATATTGGTGGAGTAGAAAGTACAGATACCTGCTCTCAAATGTAGTGAAATAAGTAAAAAGTATCCAATTTCAAATGCACTTAAGTAAAATACAGATACCTAAAATGTATACTTAAGAACAGTACTTTACTACCTTTACTTTGTTACTTTCCACAACTGGTCTTTATTTATTTTTCTTATTATTTATTAAAAATAGATAGTGAGCTTTGTGAAGTCCATATTTCCAAAAACAAAATTATTTATATGCAAAAAAAGTACACCTACAATTGTTCCCAGCTGCATGTATAGCAGAGGAACATGCAGGGGCTGAAATTTTAATGTATTTGAGGCGATTATGAATTAAAGATTATGTCAGGGGCTCAGAATAGCCTGGGCTGTCTGTAAAATGTAAAATGAGGGATTAATTTAAACCTTGTATTTGATCTTTTCCACAGAAAGAGGTGTACATGATCGCAGCCGGGGTCATCTGCGGAATCTTCCTCATCTGTACGCTCGTCATGTTTGTGGGAGTCAAAGAGAGAGATGGTGAGTTTTCAAATGCTGATTCTAGCTCTGATGAAGACCGGTCATAGTTGAAACATGAAACAAATGAAGGCTGTTTAACTGTACTTTTCCTCGTGCAACTTTTACTTTTCTGGAGTGCCTGGATTTCGTTTTGTCTACAACGCTTGCATCAAACATTGCCACATTTTGGTTTTTGTATATGATTTTTATTCTCCATATTAAATAAAGAACGTAACAGAACTAAAACTGTCATAATGTTAACAAAATGAACACAAAACTCACATTTAAACATTTTTAGACAGTTGCAGACATATTCAAACCAAAACTGTCTCACTGCTTTCTTTACACTTTTGGCTTCAGTTACATACACGCTCAAAATCAGATAGTAATTTTCAGTTACCATATTTTTCGGACTATAAGCTGCTCCAGAGTCTAAGTCGCACCAGCCAACAAATGCATAATGAAGAAGAAAAAAACATATATAAGTTGCACCAGACTATAAAGTAAATTCATTTTATAAAGAGAGAGACAAGGAACTAACATTTCATCTTAAAAGTCAAGTTAACATAGAAGAGAGAACAACAGACTGTTAACGTCACATATGAACAGTTCTTCAGATAAACTATAACATAAACAACAGAACAGAACAAGTTTAACAAACTCTCCATCTCACTCCAAATCACTAAATCCATTCAATTCTTCATCCTCGGTGTCACTTCTGAGCAACTCCTCGACCTCCGGAGGTAAACAGAGCACCGCTTCCTCTTCTGTGTAGCTGTCGTCAGACTCAGCATCAGTTCCAGTTAGAATTATTCCGGTCTTTCTGAATCCCGACAGGATGGTTTCAGTGTCACTGAAGTCCAGGCTTTGTCCATCCATCCAGTGACTTCAGGAAAGTTTCATGGTGCATCCTCCCAGCTCCTGTGAAGCTGTGTCCTCCATCCCTGCTTTCCGCCAGTCCCTCACATGTTTCTCGCTCAAGTTTCTTTCTGCTGCTCGATTACCATTTTCGGCTGTAGATTTCGCTACTTGCAGCAGGACAGAGGCTCTTTCTGCAGGAGACATGTGCAGTAGAGTGAAGTGACAGTGGTACAGGAGGAACAAGAGCAGCAGATATTGACACACAAGACTAGAACCTCTCACCGCTTCACTGTCAACATTTTAATATCTAAGTTGCAGCTGAGTTTACATCGCATGAAAAAAACAAACCATGAAAAAAGTGTGACTTATAGTCCGAAAAATATGATATAAGTGAAACATGCACAACATAATATGGTCCGTTATGGTTGTCACCTGCTTGTCTCAAAGGAGATGTTATTGTTTTGACTGGAATTTTCCATTTTAAAGCAAACTCCATGGATACAGGGAGGTGATACTAGTTCCTGCAGTTAATATTCATTATTTAATTTCCCATCTTATTTATTATTGTGCCGTAAGACAAGATAAATCACAAGATGAGACGAGGTACGAGATTGGGTCCACGAGAACGAGACAAGACAAGATTTGAACATAAATTTCACAATTCAGTTTCAAATTTTGGCCTCACAATTTTGTATTTTTATTTGATTTCATATTATTTGTGTTTCCATTCTAGTACTGCTTTTTGGAACTGTTAAAGAGATGTAACTCACCAACACGTCACTCTTTTTGTCCAATTCAAATGTGAACACTTGTATAAAAATCTTACAAGATCATTTTTCTCATGTTTGCACAATTTTGCAGCAGTTTTATCTCACGAGATCTTGTACTATTTCTAATAATTTATAGAAATCTATAGAAATATCTTGATGTACCTTTAGAGTAGTTAAAATTTCAGTCTTCTCTCTAATGTTAATGGTTTTGGAGTTGTTTACAATGCGCACTCTTGACAAAATCCTATTTTAAAACATATCTCTATAGAACTAGTCTTATTGCATTACTTGCCAGAAAATTCTCATGTTTTTTCCCCAAATCTGTGCTTTCCTAGTTGCTTTATTTAAGTGATCTTACTGACAGCCTTCCTTCTTTGAGCTTGGAGCAGAGCCAGTGTTTGCTCGTCTCAGTGGGACAAACAGCCTCTCTCTGCATTGCGGTGCTGGTTCCTGGATGGCTTCTGTCTCCTCTTCTTTTACTGTGTGATATCGGATCCTCTCCTCACTCTCCTCTTGTGTGTTTTTCAGATCCGTACGGGCCCAAGTCGGACAAACAGGTCTCATTTTATAAAGGCTTCGTCCTGGTGATGAGACACACGCCATACCTGACCCTCACCGCTGCGTTCCTCTTCATAACAGTGGCCATACAGGTACATGTTGTAGTAAATAAAACGTAAAACATGCAAATATGTAACTTTTCTGGTGGAGGTTTTGTCAAATGCTTTTCTCCATGGAGATGTTTTTGCTTTGTCTGAAATGTTTCACAGTATGACATTAAACCTTTCTATCTTCATAAAGACCAAACCAGACCAAGTTACAGGTCAGATCTGTGGAGAGGCGACTCCGCTCACAGTCAGAATGCCTGTTTTTTAGGGATGTAACGATATCCAAATCTCTTGATACAATATTTTCACGATATGCATCTCACGGTACGATATTTATTGCGATATTTTGTGGCTTTTCTGTCATAATCCAAATATTTAAGATTTAAACATGCTTAATAACAGTTGTTTTTTTCATGTAGATTGGACTAAAACAGAGCAAAGGATCATGGTCTATGTAGTCCTGTCTGTTTTTAAGCTGTTACTGCACCATAACAATAAATTTAAGCCAAGAAACTTGTAATTCTATATATTGTGATGGTCCATGATATTATTGTGAGACTTTTGACGATACAATATCACAATATTTTGGTTACCGTTACATCCCTACTGTTTCTATAGGGATTTTTGAGTTATAACCCCACCTGTAATTCAATGAATGTAAAATAGGGCTGCTTAATGCCTTACTGTGGAACATTCCAGGCACAAAACTGCCCACCAGGAAAGTTACATAATGCACTTTTACTTTTCATATTATGCTATTTTCTGATCTAAGTTATAATGTTGTTTCCTCATCAAAAACATCCCTGGAGTTGTGTTTTGTTTCATGTTTACCACACATATCTTGCAGATTTAGACTGAGTTCTGTTCCAGCTTGTGATGTCATGTGATAATACAGATAATAAGTGCTCCACTGTGTTTTTAAACTCCATACACCTTCACTAGAATCATTTGGATCATTTCAGCTCTGGAATTCCCAATCTCAACTGAATTAAAGGTCAAAGAAGCTGTTCACTTAAAAACTAACATGTAATGACATCACAAATTGGAACAGACCATTTTGAGCTTTGGAGATGTAGACAGATTAATAATAAAGAGTTACTCAAACATGTGTGAATGAAACAAAACACAACTCCAGGTCTGTTTTTGGTGACATAACACAATTCTAACAGTCAGTTTTGTGTAATACAGGACCTTTAAACTAACCATAGATTTAAATGATTCTTGAATGATTTTTGGCCATGCCCCCTCCTGCAAGTCTGACAGTAATGAGTATAATAAATGAACCTGGAGCGGCGTTCAATGTTGATTCGATCAGAGCAGAGGAGTTCTTAGTGAAAGCTTTGATTTTAAGCTGCTGTAAGTCGCTGTACTCCAGAGAGCTATTACACCAACAAGATTACTGTCTATTGTCACTTTTGGACTAACGTTTCACCAGAGAAGCCCCAAAGCTCTTTAAAGTACAAATGAAAAAGCATTTAATGGTGGCTAAATTAAGGGTATGTTTTATAAGTGGTTTTGAAACTCTATTATCCTACCATATTTTCTTTATAAATGCTATCTGGGGCATCATTATTTGCACTTTTATAGAGTGAACCACTTTCTGGAATTAAGTACAAGCGGAATATTGTATTTTTAGCTCTGCTTGTGTTTAAACGCCCATGTTACGCTCTTTTCTGATCTCTTTTATAATGCCGTGTTTTATTTCATTCACACATTCACACCTGCATATTTAGGTTGAGATTTTCTCTCAAACAGAACACACTCTGCTCCTCCTTGTGATGTTATGTGTCTCTGGAATTGCTAATTTGTACTGAAGTTAATGTAAAAAGGAGATATTAACTTGAAAACTACCACTACATGACATAGTAAGGTGGGACAGAGCATTTTAAGCTTTGGAGATTTAAGGATTTACCATAATTTCCAGACTATTGAGTGCATCTGAATATAAACTGCGTCAATAAAATGTTAACAAAATTTTAAAGTTGTACATATATAGACCACCCCTGAATAAGCCGCAGGTGTCCACATCTTCAAGAATGTTTTTAACTTTGGGCCGTCTGCTTTTATCGCCTTTGAAAGCTTTTGTCATTTTTTTTTTTTTTGCATTGACTCAGTTCGTCACGCTGCCAAAAGTCAAAAGTCTCACTATCGGCTCATTGATGCCAACACCAGCAGCTCGATTTCCTTCTTCTACAGCCACATCAATCGCCGTTAAGTTAAAAGCTGCATCATCTGCATTTCTTCGTGTGTTTTCCATGAGGAGGGTGTGTGTATGAAGCCCAAAATAACCGTTCAAAACACAATCAAACGAGCATCTTCCTTGGAGCATCACCCCCGTCTCTCCCAGCGCTCTACTGTACATGTCTCCTGCAGAAAGAGTCTCTGTCCTGTCTGTATCATGTCAGTGTTCTGCTCCATATCCATGTGTCAGTGTCTCATAGGATTTCTGCAGATTCAGTCTTCACTCACCTGCATTTAACGCATACAGGCTATTAAGACGTATCCCCCTCACTAATGTTCATTTAGCATCATAACACCGTTTTATTGTTGACAACATCACTAACTAACGCTGCAACTTCATGTTAACTCTAGATCCATGTTTTACCTGCACAGACAGTGGTGTTTACTGCACTCAGGCTGCGTGTATCCACTGTGTTACCAAACCATAGACTGTATATATGAATGGACAATGTGCCAAACAAAGAATCCGTCCATATATTCGCGTCGTTGTATATGACGCAGGGTTCAAAGTGTAAGAAAAAAGTAGCAGGTTATAGTCCAGAAATTACTGTATTGTAGTACAACGAGTGTAGACATATTTATTTATATGTGTGACTGAAATAAAACACAACTCCAGGTCTGTTTTTGAGGAGGTAACAACATTATAACATGGCTTCAAGTTCACATTAGTCAGTTTTAGGTGCACTGTGTAACTTTTCTAGAAGGGGTGCCCCACACCTGTTTGTTTCCATGGAGATATTAATACTTTGCCTGAAATATTCCACAGTTTTTCTTCTAACATTATTGATTTACAGTACAGGTATTTTTTTTTATTTCTTACAAATACAAGTTTAATGCCTTATTGTGGCTCATTCCAGGCAAAGCAATAACATCTCCATGGAAACAAGCAAGTGGCATGTACTGTGTCTTTAAATATGAAATGCTTGAAAATTCAAAAGCAGTTTAAAAAGACAAAAGACGGGAACGTAAAACTTAAAATTCAAATGAGAAAACTTTGGAGTCACCTTATAAAGTTAAGTTTAAAGACGCACTATGGGACTTTTCAGGCAGAGGGTCCATTAACTAACGGTCTCCATGGAGATGTTGCTTGCTTGCTTTGCCTGGAATGTTCCGCAGTATGCCATAAAACGTATCTATGCAAATTACAGGTGTTCTTCTTAAAAACACGCATTCTCATAGTCAGTGTAGTCGCCTCTCCACAGATCTGACTTGGAAATGGGTACGTTTAATGCTGTGCTGTAAAAAAATCCAAGCAAAGCAAAGACATCTCCATGGAAACGAGCAGTTGACGAACTCTCCACCAGTAAAGTTACGCAGTGCAACTCAAATTTTTCAGATTGCCAAAAATAAATTGCGAACCTCTCCTGTCTTTCTTCATCTTTTTTATCGCTAAGGCCTATATATTTTTATTTTTTCAGCCTTTCAAATCTTGTAGGTGTCACTTGTCATCTGTGTTGGCACGTCATGGGAATAAGTCTCACACAAAATACTGTCAGCAGCTCCTCGCAGCTAGTATCGCGCGGTGACAGTGCTGAGCGGAGCAGATACCAGAATACATGAATGATTTAAAGAGCCTGTGACACTTTGGACGACTCATTTCACTCATTTTCACGAAGCTAAGATAATTGGATTTAAAAGTTTGCAAAAATTTTAATCAAATCTCTCCCCATTTGGCAATTTTGTGGTTTATAATTTTGCTTTCTGATTGGAAATTATGACATTGCGCTACGTAATTTTGTCAAATGCCATAGAGTGTTTAAAAAAGTGGACTAAGGGAGTGTGACGTCAGCCATAATGTTCTGCTCCAGTCAAATGAAGCTCACTGAGGCTGCGGTTAAAGGAGCTGAGTTCCATTTTAGGAATAGAAATGTATTTACAGACAAAATAGTGAAATAAAAACAGCAGGATCATATAGAGCGGGTTAATATGAACATTTTAAGACCAAAATGTCGAAGCTCACAGCAGCAGTTAGAGAGAAAGGGGCGAAACGAGTTGAGCCAGTGTTCTGTCGAAATGGGCTACCCGCAACCTAAATCGACAGTGACGTCTATCGATTCACGCTACCCCGTTGAAATAAGCAACCTTACGATTTTCCGTTCACAGATGTATAGATAAAGTCTACAATAAAGTTTAACCTTGACCTGACCTCCGCAGTTTGACAACATATTTCTTTGAATTCTAGAAGTGGGTTTGATGCTGTTTGCACACTGTGATCGCACTTTATAGTTATGGCAAATTTCAACTCATTTATTTGAATTTGTGTAGTTCATTTTGACAGTTTATGCTATAAAGTAGGGCTCTGATTAAAGGGAGCACATATTGACAGAACAATTTATCCACTGAATAATTCTCCACTGTAGAATCACCATTATTCAGTCATTTATCTGAATTTGGATAGAGGTAGTTCATTTCCACAGGCCCATATCTTCTATCAAATAAGTCTCCCACTATAGAAGAGAAAAAAATGACTGGAAACACTGAAATCTTTATATTAAATAGCTTTAAATATACAGTATAATATTTAATGTTTATATCATAGGCTACAGTGTGAATTTCCTATTATAACATAGTGATCTTTTATTTATACAGCGCCTTTATAAACAAAGTTCCAACATTTTCTAAACATGGAAACAAAATAAAATATGATGTAATGAAAATGATAACGATAAAATCAAATATTAAATCCAAACTATTCAATCATCTAACATAGATATTCTGCTACAAATCTCACATGCACATGTTGTTGTTTACATGCTTAACTGGTCAAACCATACAATAAAACCAATACACTTTTAAAATGTTACTTGTTAATCCAGCTCAAATCGACGACATTTAAACTGTAAGAGTGCTTAGGGTTTGTGCGCCTGAGCAGTACCATTAGGGAGCTCAAATGGACATGTAGTAAAAATCAACAGGACACTGGAATATTTTGTGAAATTAAAGTTTGAAAAGTAAACAATTGTGCATAGATTATTCCTGACTTTCCCCAATAGCGGAGTGTTATCAATATGTTTTAGAACTGAGCTCAAGTTTTTATAATGTTTTTTTTCCAAGGCTCCTTCACTACTACTGCTTGACTATACTATACAAATATTTTCCACAAATACTCTCCCACCAAACAAAACAATCCATGAAAACCTGTCATATGTATTTAACTTTTTGTTTGTCTTAAATTTTCAGCTGGTACAGAGCAACTTTGTCCTTTTCTGCACCTACGCAGCCGATTTGAAGGACCACTTTCAGAACATAGTGCTCACCATTCTGGTTAGTTGGGGTTTTCTTTATCAAAATGGATCTAAAGTTATTTCAATTTGTGTCAGTCCATTTGTATTTATTTTGTCCATTTGTGTGCAGGTCTCGGCAGTCATCAGTATTCCTCTTTGGCAGTGGTTTCTGGAGAGATTTGGAAAGAAGACAGCAGCGTTTTGTGGCATCACTGTAAGAAACTGACTGATTAATTCTTTCATCTCAGTGATTCAGATAAACAATACAAATATACTAGTGTAATACTTTGCACTGACATCATGCTGGGGGTGTTCGAACGTGCAGTTACCATGGCGACACAATGCACACATTAGCAAATACTGCCATAAAAAGCATTAAGATTGTCTGAAAACTCAACCGTTTATGGTCTTGTTTAGGTGTTTGATGTTGAACAAAAACACAGAATTTTTATGTAAGCAGGGTTGCCTCAACACAGATCTGACCTGTAACTTGTGCTTGTGCCAGCTTGTCTCCATGGAGATAGAGAGAATTAATGTCATAATCAAAGCAATAACATCTCCACTGAGACAAGCAGGTGGCGAACCATCAGCCAGAAAAGTTACATAGGGCATTTTTAAGTGGCCCATCTCATGCAAAATCAACTTTTCAGAGCTTTCTACCTTTTAAGAGTGATGTGTGGCACTTGTATATGTCGCTGAAGTGGTTTTTAGATTGATTTTGTGTTTTTTTTTAAACAAATTGCAGCGTATTTCTGCCACCCTCCCACGTGACAATGAACTAAATCTGCTACAACGATGATGCGGCAGATTCACCTATGACACGTTTGATGTAGCAGAAAGCGCTTCACACCCGCCCCCCTCCCCTGCTCCACCGCCTCCACCCCTCCTGCACATTGGCTGACAATTCCCACATGAACACCTAAACCTAAGCGAGTGTATAAGCTCATTGTTCCACACTGCAGTGAACACAATATAATAAGTTTATCTACTAGTGTTTATTAATACTTTACCAATCAGTAATGTTCAGCTGATGTGGACGCGGTGCTTGAGCTTTGTGCTTCTCAAAGTCCTTGTCTGATTCCGGGTCCAACACATGCGGCTGAACCATGATGAATAAAAGTTTATTCCTCCCACTATCAGGGTGCACACCTGTCTCCCCCTCCCTCCCTGAGATGAGCAGTAGTCGCCTTTCATAGTTCCTGGTCTGTGATGCCTCCAAGGAATCAGTAAGATTTCATAGCTATTGTGTAATGGATGTTCCAAAACCCAAATTGTACAAAAATGTGCAGAAAATACAATGTGAAAAGAGTTATTTTGCATGAAATGGGCCCTTTAACTAAAAAAAGTCTTGTTCTAAATAATACATTTTACTTGTCAAGTGAAATGTACTCAAATCAAGATAAAACTTTATTATCTCAAGTCATTTTAACTGAGCGAGTTACTATTTGCAGTGTAGAATAAGTGTTATATTATTGTAAAGTGGTATTCTTTAAATGAATAACTCTTATCTGAGTAATAAATCATTATTTTCTGTGTTTTCTTTGTGCAGTGGATCATGCCGTTCACCCTGATGCTTGTGTTCATTCCTAACGTGGTGGTGGCCTATGTGGTGGCAGTGTCTTCAGGACTCAGTGTGGCTGCTTCTCTCCTCCTGCCCTGGTAAGACTTTCTACAGTATAACATATTTATTTTATTATGCTAGAACGGTTTACATTATCACTTTTGGATAGACTAAGCAAAATCTTATGTAATCTTTAGTCATTCCATTTCAGGACCGGTGTTGTCAAAATACTAAATGTTCATATTAAAGACAAGCTTGATACTCAATACCAGTTCTGATATCACAGTGTTAACTAAAAATGCTCTAATTCCAATACAGATCAAAAAGACTGCTTCTGTATTTGTGTTTTAAGGTGTATTCTTTTTTGTCTTGACTTGGTCCTGGTTCAAGCCCAGTTTTGTCATGATGTGGTCTTGGTTTGGTCTTCTTTCAGTCCAGGTTTTGTTGCCACCAGTTCTTTGGATTAAGTCTCGTCAAGGCATTTTAAGAGGAAAAAGTAGCGTCCTATATTATGCAAAATGGACTCTTGTGAGTTTTATGCCATGTTAAAATGTTGTTACCTCCTCAAAAGCAGACCAGTTGTCTTTTGTTTCATTCTCACATGCTTTAGTAATGTCCAAACCTCAAAATGTTCTATTCCACTGTCTTGGCTTGGTCTTGGTTTAAGCCCAGTTTTGTCATGATGTGGTCTTGGTTTGGTCTTGGTTTAGTCCAGGTTTTGTTGCCACCAGAGCCTTAGAGTGCACTGCAATTTAGCTTTATCTTCCTATTTATTTTCACCACAATTAAATTCAAAATAAAAATACTAAGCTGAAAATCGCTGTACCTGATTTTGACTGTCTTATAAACATGAAAAACAGAACGAGTTCATTTTAAACAGTTTGCAGTGGTCCAAAGTTATTCCTCATTTACCTCTCAGAAACCAAAGTGGAGTCTTGTCATTGCCGTAATACTAACAACAACTATCATGCTAATGTGCACTTCTACCTCTAAGTAAACTTTCTTTGGAGATGTCACTTTTCATGTTATTTGTGTATGTTAAGAATAGATCCTTTGCTATTATTTATGTTACTAGCCAGGGATGTAACAATAACCAGAATATCGTGATATTGTATCGTCAAAGTTCTCATAGTAATATAGTGGACCATCACAATATATCGAATTACAAGTCTCTTTGCTTAAATTCATTGTTGTGGTGCAGCAATAGCTAAAAAAAGACAGAGAGAACTACATAGACCATGACCCTTTGCTCCATTTGAGTGCAAAGTACAAGAAGAAATAACAGTTTTAACACTTTTAAGTCTTAGTTATTTGGATTAAGTCTTCTTACGGACTTTTAAGAGGAAAAAGTAGCATCCTATATTATACAAAATGGACTCTTTTGAGTTTTATGCCATGTTAAAATGTTGTTAGTTCATCAAAAACAGACCCAGAGTTTTTTTTTTGTTTCATTCTCACATGTTTGAGTAGCGTTATATCATTTTTTATCTCCATCTCCAAAGCTCAGTATGTTCTCTTCCTGTGTTCCGTGCCCTTTAAAAGATCCTTATTTTCATTCAACCAATTACCATATGGTTCTAACTTTTTTTTTGGTTTAGTTTGTAACTTCTGCCCGTCGACCCTGGTAACAAGTAGCTGATGTCTTTTTAAACATTAACAACTTAAGGGAGTGTTTCTATTTATTTACCATGTGTCTCTAAGGATATCCCAGCTCTTCCTTCATCTCATGGGCAGGCCCTAAACCCAAATTACAGAGCCATACAGGGGGCATGTTTATTTTGGCAGGGCTGATTGTTTATTCTGCCTATACCGCCTTAAGCTTCATCTCATCATGATATTAGCCCTGTAATTTTGGTCTACCGCTTTATAAGTACAATTCACAATATCAGCTGCTACTGTCTGCTTTAGTAATTAGTTTAAAGAAAATAGAGGGCAAGTAGAGGTTAATTAAAGATGCACTGTGTAATTTTTTTGGTTGGGGGTCCGTAACGTGCTTCTTTCTATGAATATGAAATTGCTCTGCCTGGAATGTTCCACAGTATGACATTAAACAGCTCTGCTTTACTTTACTTTATTCAGTTACAGATGGTTTTATAGCTCAGAAATACCTAGAAAAACAACATTCTGACTGTGAGCGGGGTCGCCTCTCCAAAGATCTGACCTGGAACTTGGTCTGATCTTGTCTCCATGAAGATAGAAAGGTTTAAGGTTTAATGCCATTCTGCGAAACATTCCAGACAAAGCAAAAACATCTCCATTTGACGGACGTTCCACCAGAAAAGTTACACAATGCACCTTTAAAGATGCACTGTGTAACTTTTCAGGTGGATTGTCCTGCCCGTTATCATGAAGAAGTTATTGCTTTGCCGAGAATATTCCTCAGTATGGCATTATATTTACTTATCTTGCATTTATTCAGCTATACGTGTTTGTTTTTATTGCGCAAAATACCTTGAAAAACATGTATTCTAGCTGTGAGTGGGCTTGCCTCTCCAGAGATCTGACTTGTGACTTGGCCTGATGGAGTCACTCGCTTGTCTCCATGGATACCGTAGAACATTCCAGGCAAAGTAATAACATCTCCATAGGGACAACCAGGTGCTATTATAGCTCTACAATACATAGAAAAACATGCATTCTTACTGTATGCGGGGCTGTTTCTGCACACATTTAATGCTATACTGTGGAACATTGCAGGCAAAGATATAAGATACGTATTTACATGTGTGAATGAAACAAATCACAACTTTAGACATGTTTTTGGTGAGGTACCAACATTCTAACATGGTTCAAAGCTCACAAGACTCAATTCTGTGTAATATAGGCCCTTTAAGGAGGACCATTTTGTATTTTTTCTTGAGTTTTAAGACTTTTTTGGTGGCATTTGCTAATGTGTGCATTGAGTCACCGTGGTAACTACAGACTAGGGCTGGGTATCACTGAGAAGTTGTCAATACAATACATACCTCGATACATAGGCCACGATACGATACATATCTCGATACAGTGAGTTTACGATTTGATACAGTTCAGTTCGATATATTTCAAATCGATTCAGTACAGTTCATTAAAAAAAAAAAAAAGCCTAAATCATGATTGTGATACTAAAAGTCTTTGTTAAACCACTTCTTGTGCAAAGTTCATATGAAACACAAACTTTTGCATTTTGTCTTTTTTTTATTTTTTTTTATTTCACAAATTGAAAAATATAGTCTTACAGGATTTTTGTTAGATAGTAATATCCTCCTACCCGTACCATAAGTATACACATATTCTCACATATAAATAAATACATATACATACACATATACAGAAACACACACATTTTAATCATCAAAACAGTGAAAATGTCAACTGTGTCCCATAAGCAGCAAAACTGTAGCTGTAACAAAATAATTTAGTGAAATATACCAAAAAATACTCTTGGTAATATATCGATTCTATATCATCACATTAAACGATACGATATATTGATATTTCGATATTTTTGCACACTCCTACTGCTGAACATTCCACCATAGACAACCATGCAGATCTCCCCAGCGTGACATCACCGCACAGTATCACTATCCCCATCCCTTACATGTTTTTTTGCGTTTGTGTTTTCCGCAGGTCGATGCTTCCGGACGTGGTGGATGACTTCAGACTGGCCAACCCCTTCGCTCGAGGCCACGAAGCCATATTTTACTCCTTTTACGTGTTTTTCACCAAGTTCGCTTCCAGCATCTCCCTGGGGGTCTCCACGCTCTGTCTGGAGTGAGTTAAAGCTGTTTTTTCTTCAGCTGACAGTCATTTGTGGATAATGGCATCTCTTTTAAGTATTTCTCATTAGGCCCTCCTCCTGGCCTCATGTATAATGTACGAGCTTTAAGGTGTTGACTCTGCTTGTTTGAAGTTGCAGTTGCTGTGTCAGTTGATAACTTGGCATCACGCAACGGCACAAAAATCTATCTATAGTTTAAAGGTGCATTATGTAACTTTACTGGTGGAGATGTCATGGCTTTACCTGGAGCGTTCGGCTGTATGCGTTACCCTTGCTCCGAAATACTTTAAAAACAGGCATTCTTACTTTGAGCAGGGTCTTCTCTCCACAGATCTGACCTGTAACTTGACCTGTGGTGTCCCCTGCTCGTCTCCAAGGGGATAGAGCAGAAAAGTTACATAATGCAGCTTAAAATGGAAGCAGAGGGCAGTTAAAATGCCATTGCCGAATAAATATTTATAATTATAATGTTATTTCCCAATCAAAAACAGACCTGGAGTTTTGTTTTGTTTCATTCACACACATTTAACAGACAAACCCTGCGCATTTAAGCTATTTAGGCAGAAAACGCTCCACCTTGTGATGTCATGTGGTAATACAGGAAGTGCTCCACTGTGTTTTTATACTTAAACACACTTTCACTAAAATCATTTGGATAATTTCAACCCTGAAATCGTAAAGAGATTGGAAATTCCAGGGCTGAAAATATCAAAATGATCCTAGCGAAGGTGTATGGAGTTTAAAAACACAGTGGAGTAATGCCTGTATTACCACATGACATCAGAAGGTGGAACAGAGTATTTTCTGTATGATATTTTTTCTGTTTGGTATTTTTGTGTGAAATCTGCATAGCTATAGGTTTAATTCACGCATGAACAAAATAAAAAACACAAATATACATTGTTCTTACAGTCTCTTCAGCATTTTTTATGGCAGATGCCCTTCCTGGCTGAAGTGCTTTGCCCAAGGACACGTGTGTTTGCTGTTTCAGAGAGATTTGAAATGGGGGATTATCTGGTCTAGTCTAGTCTACAGTACTTACTTCTACGTATTATTTTGAAGTCATTTGAATGTATTTTCAGCATTTCTGTGGTAAACAAAATAAAGATGAACATTTGGCCAATAGAGTGAGTTATATTTGATACATGTTGATCAATACATACAAATGATTAAAAAGTTAAAGGGCACTTCTTCTCTCAAACTGAAAACACTCTGTTCCACCTTGTGATGTCATATAGTAATACAGAAAGCACTCCACTGTGTTTTTAAACTCCATGCACCTTAATTAGAATCATTGGGATACTTTCAGTCCTGGAATTGTCAATCTACTGAAGTAAAAGGTAGCTGTTATTTTGGAAACTACTGCTTCATGACATCACAAGGTGGAACAGAGCATTTTAACTTTGGAGATGTAGACAGACTCATAATAAAGGGCGACTTAAACATGTGAATAAAACAAAACACAACTCCAGGTCTGTTTTTGAGGAGGGAACAGCATTCTAACATGACTTAAAGCACATGAGTTCATTTGAGTTCATTTTGTGTAATCTCTAAATGGGTATCTATTGCTTCGCTGTAGGTTCGCTGGTTATGACACTGGAGCGTGTAAACAGCCGGCCCCCGTGGTGTACACCCTGAAGCTGCTCATCGGCGCCGCCCCGGTGGCCTTCATCGTCACAGGGTTAATGATCCTGCTACTGTATCCGATCAGTGAAGATGTGAGACTCAGGAACAAAGTGTGCCTGGAGGAACTACGGTGAGAAGAACTGACCCCCTGACCTATGATATTTCACTGGAGGTCTGACACATGTTTGTTAGCTCCTGTAGATGGGGAAATGTAGACCTTCTTTAAGACTGACTAGATTTACTCAGACTCAGACAAACTATATTGGTACACAAGGGAAATGATTTGGACACAGTAGCTCACACATCACAGTATATAATAATAATAAGAGAAAAAATATATAAATAGTGATTTTTTACGGCTAAACTACTAATTCATCTCAGATATACAGTATGCACTTCCGCAAGCTGTTGGTTTTTTGTTTGCCTGTTTTCAGTTCTGTGTCATTTTTTCTTTTCATACAAAAAAAGCATTGAGCTCTATTCATCTTGTACAATTTTAGTTGTAAATTGCCTTTGGCTCAATAAAAATGTTATGATAAATTCTAAAATAGGACAAAAATAGCAAGAGACTGGTGTCAAATAAGGGATAATTATATCAAGGTGTATATAAAGGTCAAAATAAAGAAAATATACAACTATAGTAATACAAATATATCTCTCAGCTGTATACAAGAGGTCGTAAAGAGAAAACAGTGCAAAGATGAAACAGTGATTGACAGGGCATAGGGTTATCTGTTACATAAGGGTGAGCTGTAGAGTTAGGAGATTTAGGATTATTGGTCAATTTCTCTAAATGTGGAGACAGTAGACCATACTGCACTTATTTTGCTCTCTGTCCTATTTTAATTAAACTGAATAATAGTTTTATATTTTAAGGCTGTATAACATATTCTAATGATTTTGTGTTTATCTTTTCCAGGAAACAGAGCATAAGCTCCAGAACCATGGAGGACCTGAACCACGTGTGAGGAGGCCACAGACACAAACCTGTTCAGCCCCGAGCTGGAAGCTGTTGAATAGTGTATATTACACTGGTACCTGCATATATTGTTTTAATGTAAACATTTCTTTTTATTTTCTCATTGACATGTACTGTATAGTAATCTTGGATATATATATGAATTTTTAATTTATATAAATGAATGTACTATTTGCTGTGCTCAGCTCTACAACACTATTTATTTATGAATGGTCATTATAAAGGGTGATGAGACAATAAACGTTGTAGAAACTGCATGAGAGCCTTGTCTGTTGTCCTACTTCAAATATCCACACACCATAAACTTTGTACTCAAAATACTTTTATTTACATTTGTTGTAGAATACAATATTATACATATTACATTCTTCCAGAGGTGCAGCCTCTCAGTGCAGCCTTCACATTTCTGTTGTGTATTGCTCCCTCTAGTGGACAAAGTTGAAATTACGCACAGACGTCAGCATAAACCATGTTTTTATATGGCTATTTTGTAAAGGATCATTTGGCCAATGTAAAGTAAATACTGCAATAATATCAAAATCTCTACAACAGAGTGTGGTGCAGCTGCCACCATAATTAAACAGAAGCATCATGTAAACATGCTTTGTGCAAAGGCAAAGGTCTAAATCAGTACAAAACGTCAGATGTGTTCCAGTGACTGACATGTTTTCATAGAAAGTATGAAAGAGGAGAAATGCACCGTCAGAAGGTCAACACACTGTGTTCTGTATCATGTGTAATAAAACTGATAAATGAATAATGGAGTTACAAAACCAAAACCTCACAGTAACATCATTATGGTGCATGTAGCTCAATGCAACAAAACAATGCATTTTAGGCCCTGAAGTTTAACATTTGATTTGTTGAAATACATAAAGCAAAGGAAGACTCTGTGATATCTTTTCACTGATGATATAATAAGTTGTGTTCACACGAGAACATTTTTGGATCATAAGTTTTCTACTTCATTCAAAAACAGTAAATCTGTCATAGAATTACATAAGCCCCTGCTCTCCATCTCAAACTAATATTCTACAACATGAAGGCAACCTATTATAAACCAAATCATAATGATAGATTTTGTAGTTTAAGTGCAGGTCTCTGTGTTAGAGCTTGGACTGGGCGCCGGGCTGGAGGGACAGGAAGTATCTGGTGTCCGTACGTTGGATTTCCTCTTCCCGTTTCTCACAGTCAGTTCATCCTTGGATTTAAAAGTCAGTGGAACAAAACCGTCAGGGTCTGCTACAAGTACAATCCATAACGGCCCTGGAAAAAACAGAACACAGACACACGTTTAGGGCATGGATCTATTAAATCTAGGGGTGCAAGTTGTAAAAAAAAAAGTTATACATAAACACAAATTGAAGTGGCATTGGCTGGTGCATATAATCATTATCATCTCATAGGCCAATGGTGCAGATTAGCAGTACCTTCTCACTACAGAGTTTGGGTGAATAAATAAGGCACAAAAGTGGAAAGCAACTTTAAATGTCTAGAAAGTATTATACAAGACTAATGCATTATTATTATTATTATTATTATTATTATTATTATTATTATTATTATCTAAACTAAAGGATGTTGTTTGAAATCCCTTAGTTGTCCAGTGAACTTAATGAGTGGTGGAACATATTCACTCCAAAAGCTTTGTGCAGTTTTAAGCAACCTTTTTCACAGTCAATCTCTTTTTATTTATTTATTTAAAACAAGGACAGCGCACAGAAAACATTAAACTCATAGCTCTATGCCAGATTTAACTACAAGCTCCTTTCAATCTGCAATAATTGGACAGGTAAAAAATACATTATTATTTAAATTATTGATTATTATTATTATATAATATTATAATATATTATAATTATTTACATTTTAACAACTCTAACAACAACATTTCATCAGTAACAGTGTCTCCTTAAATTCATCATTAAACATTTAAAACAGGGGTCTCAAACTCAAATTACCTGGGGGCCACATTAGATAAAGTCTGAGTGAGGCTGGGCCGCATTGAGTATTCGATAAATAGCGGTTGCACGGGAATAAAAGAGAGAGAAAGAACAACATGCAACACACTTTATTAATCTTTAATAACAGTTCAGAATATGAAAATGCATTCAGATCGTAAGTTTAAACTAATACGTCTACTCTTCTTCTTTTGCCTACTTCTTGCTGGTTGAAACCTGGCTACGCTTCATCTCGCACAGCTGAGAGATATTTGGCTTGCAGGAGGAAGCATATGAGATCCTCAGGATAGATTGAAGATGCTCATCAGTGAGCCTTGACCTGTATTAGGTGCTTTCACACCAACAGTATTTGGTGCGCACCAAACGGTCCATTTGAACCAGAAGTGGTTAACTCGGTTCGTTTGCCTTGGTGTGAAAGCGTCAATCGGACTCTGACCCGGACCAACTCAAGTGGGCCGAGACCTCAAAAAAGAGGTGGTCTCGTTTCGCTTGAATCCGCACCTCTGGTGTGAACGCGAACCCGAGTCCAAACCATAGACAGCAGGTCCAAACGAACTATTCGAAATGCATCATGGGAGAAACGCGTCTCCTTTGCCTGTAATGACGCGCTGTACGATTCCAGCGCAGTAACAGATTGTTGTCCAGACGCAGCCGCGATTCATTTTCGAATTATTTTACCAACAATGGCCAATAAAGAGAATGTAACACACGAAGATCAGAGCAAGTATCAGTGTGCGAACGTGTGGCTCCAGAGTGAGTCAAAAATGGGGGTGTGTATTTCTGTTCAGGACCTGCACAGAGGTCCCCGTGTTCCCCGTAATCATGTAGGAACCAGCATTTGTTATTTTCGGCTTTAATTAACCAAATAATTTTATGGCAATAGGCAATCACCCATTCAATTGATTCACCTTTAAAAAATGTCCGGCTTTTAGCCTAGTGTGAGAAATACAGTCGGACTAGATCCAAACCCGAGTCCCGAACCAGCAGGAGCAGCTTCGGTTCTGTCCGGGCTCAGATGACGTAGAGCGGGGAGTGAAAAGCGCTTTCCCCGGGAAGAACCAAATGCGCGGAGGACGGACACCAACTAAACTGGATTCACGCTTCTGTCCGGATGCTTTGCACCACCTCGGAACCAGCCGCGGTTCTTGAGCGCGGAGGACAGGAGCAGCAGCGCATTCTCACTTTCCCCGCATGGGACCAGCACGCAGACGGCGGAACGTACCCGCTCAGACCCAGTCATTGCGCACTGGTCTTGCTCGCCACCGTCTGGAACCAGCACATGGAGGACAGAGCCTTCGGACCATCTGACCAACGCACTTGTAGGACGACAGAAGACCAAGGACCAGACCCCAGCCCCGTCCTGAGGAGCTGCGCGCTACTGTGAACGCTGTTGGCCTCTGCTGTTACCCGAACTCTGGGCTAATGCGGTGAGTTTGTAGAAAGTTCTACATGTTGCTGTTTTATGAGTTCATGGTGATAAGATGAGGACGGCCCGCGGTATTAACAGGGAACATCAGTATTGGTTACTGGAGGTATCGCTGTTCTACCGGGATACAGAGGCTCGTTAATCGGACCAGTTTTGGTTCGTTTGCCGGTGTGAAAGCGCCACACTGGAGTGTATCTGCTTCTCGTATGTCAAACATGGATGTTAGACGCTTGTTTTTGCCTCGTAGTTTTTGCTAACATGTCGCCAAGCCTCTGGAATAGATCAGTGCAGTTTTGTGGTGCTTGCATATTGATGGGACAGCTGTGTTTGCCGCTGAGTGCGCGTGGATTTCGGCGACGCAGAGGTGGAGCTTGGTCATCGTGTTGCCAGCAAGTTACGCACCGAGTGTTGAGCAGGTAAACAGACTGTCAGTGTCTTTTTATTTCTTATTAGCCCCTCCAATAATGGTCCCATACTTATGAACAGGGGAATTCCGTCAGCGCCTCCTCTGCTCTGATACTGTGGTTGTGGGAGCGTAAAGTGAAGTGCGCACACATGTACCACCACGTGTGGTTTGTTTTGATTCTTCGGTGACGCCTTATGTGCACGTGTACTCATATTAACAGATCCACTTAGACTCGTTGCTTCACAACTGCTGTAAATTGAGTTTTGGGATGTAAACTGCGCTAATAATCTGTTGTGAATCTGTATGGGCACCGATTGCAGCTTCATCTGTCAGTGCGGCCCGCGGTAGAGGGGTGGGATTGTGCGTACATCTACCACGGGCCGCACTGACATTATTCTTTGGAATTAAGTGGCGGGCCGCAAAAAATCCTTCCGAGGGCCGCAGTTGGCCCCCGGGCCGCGAGTCTGAGACCCCTGATTTAAAACAATCAAAATGAATTAATTCTCATTTCCATGAATACAAGATTTCAATTTCATCATTATCTTCTACAAATTTCATTGTCATCAAAATCCTCTAAAATGTACATTTACCAAATTCATCAGTATTATTATCCTCTAAAAGACTAATAATTCATTAACAACATGACAACAACATGATTAAAGGGCTTATATTATGCTATTTTCTGATCTGTGTTATAATGTCATTTCCTCATCACAAACAGACCTGGAGTTGTGTTTTGTTTCATACACATGTTTAACTCACAAACCTGCACGTTTAGGCTGAGTTCTTATCTCAAACAGAAAGCATTCCAGTCTTGGACTGTATAAAGAAGTGGACTAAGCAAGTGTGACGTCACCCACGGCATTCAGCTCCACTCAAATGAAGCGGTTACGGGAGCGAACTTGGAGCCAGGCCCCTTACTATGAATAGGATTTTTTAAATGGACAAAATAGCTGGAAAAACAAACAAACAAACAACAACAACAAAAAAACAGCGGGTTAATATGAACATTTTAAGACCAAAATGATGAGGCTCAGAGCAGCAGTTACTGAGAGAAGGGCGACTATATTCCAATGTAAGTCAATGGGAGCCAGGGTCAGTAGCGCCCCGATGCTCACTTCCTATTTGGAACATGGCAACTAGCGCTTTAGCTACAGAGGAGGAAATAAGTATTTGATCCCTTGCTGATTTTGTAGGTCAGCAAAACCTACAAATTGTGGGTGCATTTGTTTTCGAACAATTTCGAACAATTGCACCAACAGTTGTCCTCTTAGCACCAGCTTCTTTGCTTATGGTTTTGTAGCCGGTTCCAGCCTTGTGGAGGTCTATAGTCTTGTCAAAGCTGTCAAAGGACGTCAGGGACAGGAGTCTGATGGAATGACTGATTCTGTGGACATGGGTCTTTTATATAGGTGACTAGTTCAAACAGGAGTCTAATTCAGGGAACGAGTTGATTAGGAGTGTCTATCTGGTCTGTGGGAGCCACAACTCTTAATGGTTGGTAGAGGATCGAACACTTATTTCACACAAATGAAATGCAAATCAATTAATATATTATCTATAATGTGACCAATGTTAAAATAAACCTTCCATTAAAATTACAGACTGTTCATTTCTTTGTCAGTGGGCAAACCTACAAAATCGACAAGGGATCAAATACTTATTTCTTCCAGTGTATGTCCATTTATATACAGTCTATGGTTTCACCTTGTGATGACATGTGGTAATACAGGAAGTGCTCCACTGTGTTTTTAAACTCCAGACACCTTCACTAGAATCATTTGGATCATTTCAGCCCTGGAATTGCCAATCTCTACTGAACTAAATGTAAAAGGAGCTGTTAATTTCAAAACTATGACATCATGACATCACAAGGTAGAACAGAGCATTTTGAGCTTTGGAGATACACAGACTAATAATGCAGGATCAAATATGTGTAAATTAAACAAAACACAACTCCAGGTCTGTTTTTAATGAGGTAACAACATTATAAGAAGGATTAACGCTCACAAGAGTCAGTTTGTGTAAGGGACCTAATAGCCCTTTAACAAAAAAATGCAACTTTAGAGATACAGTAAATGAAGCAAGCAAGTATTCAATTAATGGCTGTTAATAGTGCAGCCCTATCAGCCCTTGGAGAGCTTGCTTTCTAGTTTTTAACACTATTTTGGAGCCTCGTGAGTCCCAGGGCAGCTACAAAACACTACAGTCTCTTAAAGCAGTAAGCAGCTTTTGTCTTAAACCTTAAATCTCACTAGGCTTTTAATCACTTCTATAAATAGCCCTGACACAAGCAAAAGAACAATAGGACCACAGCAGTATAATATAGTAGTGAATCTTTGGATATTTGAAAGATTACATTATAATAAAGCCCTATTTGGCACAAGCTACTCATTAGTTTCCTCCCACGAATGGAGATCAGCTACAGCCTTTCTAAAGAGGTTCCTAGAAGGATTCCTTAAGAGCAATTACTCCATTACCTTCTGCACTCCGCATCACAACAGAGCGAAACTCACACGTCCAGAACCAAACAGAGCTCACAGAATCCATCGTTACAAAATAAACAACCAGCTACTCTAATCCAGGGCCAGAAATCGCACGGTGCCACGTGATTCGATACAATTATCACGTGAGATTATCATAAGTGTGTACTAATCGATATATTGCACATGATACTCTGTGAGCTATTGCTGTTTTTAAAGAACCAAAGACATTTTAGCTACAATATTTCTTAGTTTTAACCACTACTTGTTAGGGATGTAACAATAACCGAAATATTGTGATATCGTATTGTCAAAAGTCTCACAATAATATCGTGGACCATCACAATATATTGAATTACAAGTCTCTTTGCTTAAATTAATAGTTATGGTGCAGCAATATAGCTAAAAAAAAACAAAACTGCAAACTACATATACCATGATCCTTTGCTCCATTTCAGTGCAGATTACTAATACATGAAAGAATAACTGTTTTTAAGCACTTTAAAATTAATTCTTTAGATTATGAGACAAAGGCTTGTCAAGGCATTTTAAAAAGGAAAAAGTAGCATATTCACAATTTTGTTAGCCTCCATAAAATATCACAATAAATATCGCACTGTAAGATGTGTACCATGAAAGTATCGTAGCGAGAAATGTGGATATCGTTACATCCCTACTACTTGTGCAAGCTTAATATGAAATAGACCAACATCTATTTAATCAGCAAAACAAATTATATGTTATCACGCAGTTTCCTCATCACAAACATACCCGGAGTTTTGTTTTGTTTCATTCATACATGTGCATATTTTAGTTCTTCTCTCAAACAGAAAACACTCTCTTCCACTTTGTGATGTCATGTGGTAATACAGGAAGTGCTCTACTGTGTTGTTAAACTTCATACACTTTCACTAGAATCATTTGGATGATTTTCAGCCCTGGAATTGATAATCTCTACTGAATTAAATATGAAAGAAAACATGAAACCTACCACTGCATGACATCACAAGGTGAACAGAGCATTTTGAGCTTTGAAGATGTAGACAGACTCATAATGCAGGATTATTCAAACATGTGTGAATGAAACAAAACACAACTCCAGGTCTGTTTTTCATGAGGAAACAAACTTATAACACGTCTTACAAGAATCCATTTTGTGTAATATTGGACCTTTTTACTAGCCAGGCTAGCGCCACCTAGTGCCTCCGCTCTATTTAATTTCTCACCAGCAACTACGTCAGGAATCTAAATACACTAAACGGTTTGCAAAAACTGTGGAAGTGCAAGTTCAGGCACCAGCCAATCAGCGAAGAGCCATATATACAGTGTTGTCAACGATTCCTGAAATCGAGGATTTAAAGCCAGAACAAAGAGACGTTATTGTCCTTCTTCCTACGGGATTTGGGAAAAGCTTAATATACCAGTTAGCCTTGTTAGCGGCGCATTACATACATGACTACAAAATAGCAGCGATTGGTTAAATGATAAAATGTGCACACCTACCATTGAACGAACAAAATCTATCACTGGGAGGTCAGACAAAGTGAAACCGGCTGATGAATCAGGCTACCTTTTTACTGGCAGTAACTTAAAAAATGGTTATCTACATAAGAAACCTACTAAGACATTGACAAGTGTAATAATCACAGTTAATGGTTGTCTTGATAAACTATGAAATCAGTCCATTAGCCTGAAGCCTTGTGCAGACTCTAATATCTAACATCTGTGGCGAGCATGTGTTTTTGTCCTCACCATACATCATCTCCACTATGGACAGACTGAAGAGATCCTGCAGAGAGCGCAGGCACAGCTTTCCATCACACAGCAGCACCGGCCTCCTCTCGTCGATGAACACGTTTTCAGACAACTGCTTCTGCGAAAACAAAGTCAAGACGAGACAGGAGGTGAAACAGAAGAGTCTGACGTCTGGTTGCAATATTCATCAAATCTAGCACAGCACACTTCAATGGTTTCTGTGATTTATATATTACTTGTTCAGAAAATAAAGGTTTATTTTCTGATCTATGTTATAATGTTGTTTTCTTATCATAAACAGACCTGGAGTTGTGTTTTGTTTCATTCACAGATGTTCATTCACACACAAACCCTGTATATTTTGACAGAGTTCTTCTCTCAAACTGAAAATACTCTCTTCCACCTTGTGATGTCACACCTTCACTGGAATCATTTTGGATGATTTCAGCCTTGGAATTGCCAATCTCTTCAGAATTAAAAGTAAAAAGTATCTGGTAATTTGACAACTACAGCTTCATGACATCACAAGGTGGAACAGAGCATTTTGAGCTGTACAGATATAGACAGACTAACACACCAGGATTGCTCAAACATGTGTGAAATAAACAAAACACAACTCCAGGCATGTTTGTGAAGAGATAACAGCTTAAAACTTACAGGAGTCAATTTTGCGTAATTTAGAACCATTAATCAAATTTAGAAATGTGGTTTCAATTACTGCTCTATTCAAATTACAAAAAATTTAATTAACTTCTGTTCAGAATATGTGTGCTTGTTCTAACCCGCAAAACCTGCAGCAAAGCCATTCATTAATCTGCAAAATATATTAAATAAAAGTGTCATAAAACATTTCTAATGCAATGAAATGAAAAATGAAATGAAATCAAATATATTAGGTCAATACTTTCTCTACATTATTCAAACAGCCCTTCTGGTATAACACTTGCGTAATGATAAGTAGATATGAAAACCTTCTAGTTAAACCTCTATAAACATACGATGAAATACGTGAGTTCATTTGTTAAGCAGGTTAGCAGTATTTCAATCTTTTCAAATCTGCTCAAATGTGAATGTGCTGGCCTTGGTGGTGTTCAGTACGTGCACTGTGAACTAAATCTGTATGGTAAATGATTTTTATACAACGCTTTTCCACCATCAAGGCACTCAAAACGTTTCACATCAAGAAACACTCACTCATTCACACACACTCATACACACACACACCGCCAACCGTCAGATCGGTGGACAAACGCTCTACCAGCTGAGCTACTTTTTCTCCTAAAATTCAGACTCTAATTCAGGGGTGTCTAAACTTTTTCACCGAGGGCTGCATATAGAAACACATTTGTAGCAGGAATGTAACAATAACTGAAATATCGTGATATCGTATCGTCAAAATTTTCACAATAATATCATGGACCATCACAATATATCGAATTAAAAGTCTCTTTGCTTAAAATAAGAGTTAAGGTGCAGCAATAGCTAAAAAAAAGACAGACGGAACTACATAGACCAAGATCCTTTGCTCCATTTCAATGTAGACTACAAGAAGAAATAACAGTTCTAACACTTTTAAGTCTTAGTTCTTTAGATTAAGTCTTGTCAAGGCATTTTAAGTGGAAAAACAGTTAACAGTTTTGTTTGCCTCCACAAAATATCGCAATAAATATCATACTATGAGATGTATATTGGGAAAATACTGTACTGAGAGATTTGGATATATTGTTACACCCATAATCGTGAGCCTCCCCACCATATCGCAATAAATATCGTACCGTGAGGTTCATACCGTGACAATATCGTATCGGGAGACTTGGATATCGTTACACTCCTAATTTGTAGTGAAAGGCCGTGGACGGGTCTTCAATACAGCGTCTCTCTCTCTCTCTCTAAATTCATTTTACAGAGCCACAACACCCTTAAAAAGTCTTGTAGCACTAATTCCAGGTTTAATTTAGGTCTATATCACAATGCAATAAGATTATTTAAGTTATTCACGTTACACATTTCAATTCTACGTTCCCCCAAATTGTAGCTTTAGTCTGGAGCTGTTGCCATGAAGAACAATAGGGTCCCATTGGATGATGCTCTAATCAGATAACCACTGTCTTAATCTGATACCTGCTGATTTATCTCACCCCGGCTGGATTTAAGCGCTCTCACTCTGTCGATACCAGATAGTTTCAGCTTTATCTAATCTGTGAAGTCAATATAATGGCTGCTGAAAGTGTGGAGCTTTAAATGCAAATTATATCAAAGGGCCCATGTTACACTAGTTTCTGATCTGTGTTATAATGTAGTTTCCTCATCATTAACAGACCTATAGTTGTGTTTTGTTTCATTCACACATGTTTAACGCTGTATTTTTAGGCTGAGTTCTTCTCTCAAACAGAAAACACTGCTGTTCCACCTTGTGATGTCATGTGGTAATACAGGAAGGGTTCCATTGTGTTTTTAAACTTCAAAACCTCATCATTTGGATAATTTTAGCCCTGCCAATCTCTATTTTATTTATCCAACCCTCAACAGCTCAAATCTTAGTGAATTTCATTAAAAGTGTTAAAATCTCCCCACTATTGTCAAGAAATTGTCCCCATGATAAATACTCAGCCCCAAAATATATAATTCCAGTTTTCATATATTGAACGATAAGTCGATATTGTAATTATCGTGACAGGCCTAAATAAAACACTGCAATTTATTTTTCAATAAGCTGCTTTTGCCACTTTATAAAAAAATTAAATGATTGATTAACAAATTTACTAAATGCTAAAATTTTGCACATCTTCAAAACATTGATACTTAAATGTTACGCAACAGAATTTTGATGGAAACACTGATTGAGGCTAAAACAAAAATAGCAGTTTCAAACATGTATAAATATAAAATACAGTTTATAACACATTACCTGGCATGTGACATTGACATAAGGAGGTTCTGTGTAGTGCGGATAGACACTTTGCGCCTTCTTGCCGTTTTGCGTGAAGTCTCTCATTTCTGCCAGACACTGCTGTACGTCTGAGAAACGTGTGAACAGCCTCTCCATATTGTGCACCAGCTGCTCCAGGGCCCGCTCCCTTTGGATCGATTTCTTCTCCGCCACTGAAGTCTGCTCAGCTTGGACTTTATCTGATGGGTCCAGGCGCGGAGAACTGGCCCTGCTCGAGTCTCTGCTAACCTGCCCGGCGACCGCCAAGCTGCTCAGACGATTCACCTGCTCCATATCGTAATTCTCCAAAGTTATGGAAGAAGAACTGGACACTGCTTTGTCAGAAGATCGGTCGGAGAAGTCCACGGAGCTGGTGACGGGGCTGGGATCACTACTACGCACTTCTTCAATTAGTCTTCTTCTGTTGGCAGGTGAACGGACTAACCCCCCTCCCGGTAAAACCAAGTCTTTAATCCTGGTTGGTCTTTCCCTATCCTCCTTAGAGATGTGTTCGGAATGCCTTCTAATCCCCGTAGGAGTGGACAAACCTGGACTGGACGTACTGGGACTGTCTGTAGGTGGAGTGCTGGGAATCTCGCAGTCATTTAAAAGTTCCTTGGCAAGAAGTCGTAGCATATATTTATCGGTGTTTGAAGCAGGGAGGAAAGCAGGATCGTTAGCCTTCTGCCTGCCAATCATGAGTAGGAGCATTTTGTCATTAAGAAAACACACACCTTTTGGTTTGTCATTGGCTTGAAGAGAAATTTGTTGTATATTGGGCATGGCAGATGGAGTTATGCAATACACAAGCACCATGTTAGAAGTATTGGAAGCTACAGCAACAGTGGAGCCCCGAGGGTCAAACGCAACGATGTCAGGAACTAAAATCCCCGGGATGCTGACTTTGCGTGTGGTGGTGACTTTACGCTCATAAGTTACTAAGATGAGGTGAGAAGAGTCCAGGCCAGATCCGGTAACGGTGTCTCTACGACGGAGGTGAAGGAGGGGGCTGGGGTCTGAGCGGCGATGGCGTGCCAAAAGGTGAGTGAGATCGAGAGGTCCGGTGCTGGGTATAAATGACCTCCTCCGATCAAAAACGCTGTCTTCCTCGGATGTCTCTTGGTTCTGGAGCGAATCCGTGACTTCGTTTGGTAAATCGAACGACATTCCAGCGTTCAGTCCACAGATTTTATCCAAAGGGAGTTCGGTGGCGACTGCAACTTGTTGGTCTCCTGTGGACTCAATGGCGCAGACATAGCCACCGACGTCAAAAATAGGGCAAAATGAACATGCTACAATGCTTTTCTGAATATCGTTCCAAATATAAGAGTGTAACGCGCTGCCTACAGCTACAACAAGGCGAGTACCATCTTTAGTCCAGCAAGCACAATGGATAAGACCACTTCCTTTAATATCCGCTTTGATTCTCCGGTTGTCGACACGAACTGAAAACAATACAGAAGCGTCTCTCTTGGTCAGTACCGCTAATACATCTAGTTTAGGATGCCAAACACAGCCCTGGGACAGCAACGGGAAAGGCTCACTCATCTCACAAGTTTGAGTACACAAGAGTTTATTCTGCTCCAGGGTGCTGAGTTGGAGTTGCCATACGGTGATGTGTTTCTTATGCTGAACAGCCAACAGCGCCGGGGAATCCAAGCAGCAAAGAGGACCCCAAAACAGGCCGAGGACGTGCTCAAACTGTCCGATGACGTTAGTGTCCCCAAATTGGACTTCTCCATTGACAAAATACAAGGCAGTCAAGCACACCTGTTTACCATCAGTCCAGGCTATTCCATGCACGGGGTGGATAGCTTGGTGTAGCGTGTTGAGGCCGGACCTAAGCAGCTTTGCCTTTCCAAGATCCATCCTGTTGGGAAAGGGAAAAGAGAAGTTACTCACAAACTTATCATATCTTATACAGACTACTTGCAATCTAAATATCACACAACACAGGAGATGTTATTGCTACCTATGAAGATTAGGAATAGCAAAAGTGTGGCGTGTCTCCTTCAAAGTACGTGCTTTAATCTCCCTCTCTGAGCCGAGGAAGCTGTGACGAACACTGATAGCTGCTTACGTTTGAATGACCTTAACAACAACATAGGTCCAGTGCTGAGCTGGGAGCATTATCATTACAGCGTGTGCAGTGGGTGTGTCTTGGTATCAGCACTCTGTATACTGTCAGATTTAATTAGGACAATAGCAATCACAGCTCAGAGGAACAGAGTAATGAATGAATACATAAATGAATAAATGGTGTGAATAATGACAGTTTCATTAAGATAAAGGTCTGAAGTGTAATTAGATATTTATTGCACATTAATAAATGGCACTGGGTAGTTTTGCAGTGTTTCCCATTAATATAGGAGCCCCCGCATAGTCTAATTTTCAACCTCAGATTCTAAAAGCTGAGCAAAAAACTGGTAAACCAAATTATACTGTATGTTTGGAGTGATACCATTATTAGAGGTAACAATTTTTAATCTGTAATCGGCACTTTTTAATGAGTACAGACAATAAGTGGCATTTATACACCAAAATACTGTATTACATCAAATTATTCAAATGTGTTGGATAGCTCGTACCATATAGTCTCAGTATAAACCTGCGGGAAACACTGAGTTTGGTTATAACGGTGCGTTTTTACGCGCATGCCAAACTTGGTATAACTATCTGAAAGGACTGTTTATGTAAATACACCTGATAAAATTAACATAAGGGTTGAATTAACAAATTAAATACACAATACTGCACGACAACTGTACACTGACAGGTTTTGTTTGGCATGTACGTGTGCGTCTTTATGCGCAAACCTAACTTGCGGCACTGAGAGTGGTTCAAGTACATAAAATACAATTAATGGTAGCGAAAACGGCATAGATTGTTATGAAGGTTAATACGAACCAAAGTAGAAACCACAGACTGTATGATAGAAACAAACTATTTTGTAGTTGCAGCGTGCAGGTATTCTGAGACTTTGGATAAGCGTATTACTCGCCAAGAGGAGTTGACAAAAATTTCACGTACGAACAATGAACATGAACAAATAATTCTAAATATATTACCGATAGTTTATGTTTTGCCACTTGAAATCATCAGTCTGAAACGCTCCCACGCTGTTGCTACTGCGACCAAATAAACCGGAAGCAAAATGTACACGTGTTTGGTGCATTATGGGAGATGTAGTCGAAACGTGGTAAAGCCTTTTGACCGCTTGATGGCGCTGCGTAAATGCTTTTACTGTTATTCAAAACACATATATATCAAAAATTTATTGTGATAATAATTAAATACAGATCTTAATTTTGCTAAAAGTGTCGAATAAATGGGAATTGGGGTTGGAATATGGGAGATTTTGTGGATGGAAGCGTGCGTGCAGTGAGGCTGGCTTGACGTACCCTCCTTGGAACTATCTCGTCTGTTGGATTGTGCGCTACGGCTGTCGAGGGCTTGTTGCTGAATGCATGCTATCCTCCGATACACCCCGATCTGTAGCAGCTAAAAGGATAACATTAGCTCTTTAGACGTCTTGTTAGCTTGTATGGTTCGGTGCTAATAGGTATTACTGCACAAGTATGGGTGTGGAAGTCGAAACTATATCTCCGGGTGACGGTAAGTTGGTTTATTCGCTTGTGTGTGCATTGATGGTGGGCTCTTGCTAACACGGGGGCTTCCTTTGCTTCAAAATACGTTCAAAAGTGCTTCAAATGTATTGCGTTTGTAAAATATATGAATGAAAAGCACACGATTCAGTCTGCAGACCCCGGTGGCGTGTTTGGTGCGTTTCGCTATGCGTAATTACAACAGTGTTAATATTGGTCTTTACGCATTGCTATATGCTTCCAGAACTATCTACTTACAGTAAACGTATAGATCTATAAAAAGCCCATCCGCAAAATATGATAAAACTAATCTAAATACATCTAAACTGTAAACATGCCGCTGTTGGAGATTTCCGTGCCAAGTCAGTGGATGCTCGTGTGGATCAAGGCGTTTTCTGGACATTGGCGTACAGTGTAATTATGGACATTTGATACCCTTTTAGCTTGTAAAAATAAGCTGCGGGCTAAAGTTTCAATATGTGAGAGCAGGGACCCCAGAGAGGACCTCTAGCTGCTTTTAGTCCGTCTGCGCTATAGGCCAAGGAAGGAAACTCAGCCAGGAGCAGCAACACCAGTTTTGAACCCAGCTATTGTTAATATGGAGGATTAGAATAGACAGCCGCTGCACAGGGCCTGGCATAGACATTTGGTAATACTCAGGTCATGGTGGTACCCACATAAGTATTAGTTTAGTCTGGGGTAGGTTTGATGCTGGTTAAAGATCCTATATCACACCAAAATGAGGCTCGTGAGCTGTGAGCCATGTTTTAATCCTATAACCTCCTCAGAAACATACGTGGAGATGTGTTTTATTTCATTCACACATGTTTGAGTCATCCTTTATGATTAGTTTGTTTACATCTCCAAAGCTGAAAATGCTCTGTTCAACCTTGTAATGTCACAAAGTGGTACATTTTCAAGTTAACAGCTACCTTTTATCTTTAGTTCAACACAGATGAGCAATCACAGGACTGAAATCCTTCCAAATTATCCCAGTGAAGCAGTATAGAGTACAAAAAACAGGTATTTTTTTGAGATGAGGAAACAACATTATCATTTAGATCACAAAATAGGTCTTTTAAATGCTTTAAATAATTAATCTGGGTTAGTTCTGGTCATATTTTGGGCACATTTGATTCTGTAGCAACTGTTTTAAAAGGGAATTTAACTACCGGTAATCCTCCTGCTTTAGTTCTGGTAATACTTAGTCAAAATGAATGCCTGGTTCCTAGTGGTGTAGCCCTGTTTGGTTGTGGTTTTGGCCTGATTTATTCCTGTTTTGGTTATGCTCTGGTTTAAACTTGAGGGCTGTTCCTGGTTTAATCCTGGCCATAGAGTTACTTAGAAAAACTTTATTTATCCGCAAGAGAAATTACTCGGACACAGTAGCTCACATGTCACAATAGAATATAATAACAAAGAGCCACAATATAAAAATTCAAAATAAGTAGCAAAAATAACAAGAGACTGGTGTCGAACAAGACTTTTTATTCTGTGGAAACTCCAGATGTGAATTGAACTAGTCCTGCTTTAGTTCTGGCAATGTTTAGTCCAGGTTAATGTCTGGTTTCTTGTGGTTTTGGCCTGGTTTATCTCTGTTTTGGTTATGTTCTGGTTTAAGCTTGGGGGCTGTTCCATGGACTGTATATATAAATGGACATAGCTAACTCCCTCGCCGTCGCATTCCAAGTCGGAAGTGAGCATTGGGGGCACTTCCAGCTCTATTGACTCTGGCTCCAATTGACTTTACATTAATCGTAATCATAAATTATCACCTTTCTCTCTGTAGCTGCTGCAGTGAGCCTCGTCATTTTGGTTTTAAAATGTTCTGTTGTATTAACCCGCTCTACATGATACTGGTGTTTATTTCACAATTTTAACTAAGGCTGGGTATCGTTCTGAAGTTGCATACCTTGATACATATCTCGATACAGTGACCTTTCAGCTCGATACGATTCAATACGATATATTTCAAATCGACTCGATACGGTTCAATAAAAAATAAAGGTTAAATCATGGCTATGATACTAAAAGCCTTTGTTAAGCCACTTCTTGTGCAAAGTGAATAGTAATTGTTTCTTCTATTTTGTTGACTTGCATGTGAAGCACTTTGGTCAACTGAAGTTGTTTTAGATGTGCTATATAAGTACACTTGAACTGAATATAACTGAATTGAATTTGAATTGACATTTTTATCATCAAAAATTTTAATCATGACTACATGCATCGAGAATCTTGGACTTCCGGTCATTGCGCAATGCATACTGGAAAGGACTTTCTATGTTTGTTTTCCCAGTGGGATGCATCTATTGACAAAGTCGATAGTTTCTAGTCTTTTGAACCATATAACTTTTGTTTTTGGTTCTGATATTGTCATATTTTAGTTTTAGGATTTGGACATCGTAATTGTGTGGTTGTTGGATGTCCTAACACCAGAAAATGGCTCGAGAAATTTGTTTGCGAACTCCATAAATGCAAAAGGGAGTAGGATGTGTGTGACTGCAAACCTCCCTTCCCAACGAAATTGAAAAATAGTGAAAGATGAAGGCGATGGGAAGGATTGATCTACAGGAAGGACCAAAAAGGAAACCTTTGGCTGCCTAAGAAATCATCCTGAGTTTGCAGCGAACATTTTGTATGTGGAGCGCCATCAAAGCAAAATCCCGATCCCTCAGTCAACCTCGGTTGCGAATTTACAAAGTCAACGCCAAAGTAAAAGGCACCAGCTGTTCGCCAAGAAACAACTTCCCGTACAAAGTGACCAAGAGGCAATGTTGCTGTATAGCCACAAGAACAAGAAAGTGTGAGTTCAGCCTGTTTGTCTTTTGTACCTCTCACTTAACAAACGGGATCCCACTTTGCTGGTGCTCCACATACAAAATGTTCACTGCAAACTCGGGATGATTTAGACAGTCAAAGGTTTCCTTTTTCCTCCTTCCTGTAGATCAATCCTGCCCATCGCCTTCGCCTTTCACTATTTTTCAATTCCATTGGGCAGTGAAACAGTTTGAACGGAGGTTTGCAGTCACACACATCTGATTCCCTTTTGATTTTATGGAGTTCGCAAACAAATTTCTCGAGCCGTTTTCCGCTGTTAGGATCCAACAACCACACAATTAAGATGTCCGAATCCCAAAACTAAAATATGACAATATCAGAACCAGAAACAAAATCGATATGGTTCAAAAGACTAGAAAAGATCGACTTTGTCAATAGACACATCCCACTGCGAAAACAAACATGGTGGTTTGATGCTCACTTTTTCGGAAGATCCTTCCCAGTATGCTTTGGGCAATGACCGGAAGTCCGAGATTCTTGATGCGTCTATTTTAATCATCAAAACAGTGAAAATGTCAAATGTGTTGCATAAATGAGTTTCCTTCCTCTAAATAAGTAACAAAACTGTAGCTGTAACAAAATCGTTTAGTAAAATTATACCAAAAAATTCTCTTGGTGATATATCAATACAGCAGCTCACGATATCGATACTTTATCATCACATTAAACAATACGATATATCGATATGTCAATATTTTTGCACACCCCTAATTTTAACTGTAAATAAATTCCTATTCCTAAAACAGAACTTGGCTCTTATAACCACTACCTTCGTGAGCTTCATTTGACTGGAGCTGAACGTTATGGGTGAAGTCACGATCTCTTAGTCTATGGGTTGTTCTCGAAGAATAGCTAAAATAATCCACTTTATTGCCAGAGATCCAGCTAACCATAAATGTAATAATTCAGGATTAGCCCTTCCCTTCTTGTCCCGGTCTGAGCTCAGTTTAGTCATGATCAGACTCTGCTCCTGGATTTAGTTCCTCTAAATATGGAACTGCAATAACAACAATGTTAGTCTGTCTTATTTTAAGTGATTGTAAAAACTAACCATGTTGTTTTTCTTGCAGGGAGAACATTTCCAAAGAAGGGCCAGACATGCGTGGTACATTACATAGGTAAACAACTCCTGCTATTACTACTACTACTACTACTACTATTACTACTACTACTATTGCCATTATCACTGCTACTACTACTTTTAATACTGCTACTCCTACTAGTACTTTTACTTCTACTACTACAACTACTACAACAACAACTACTACTACTACTACTGATATTACTATGGCTACTAATACTACTGCTGCTACTAATGCCACTACTACTACTACTACTGCCATTACCACTGCTGCTGCTACTACTACTACTACTATTATTACTATTATCACTACTACTACTACTACAACTGCCATTACCACTGCACTACTACAATTACTACTGCTACTCCTACTACTACTTCTACTACTACAACGACTAGTACTACTACTGTTAATACTGTTACTCCTCCTCTTCCTCCTACTACTACTACTATTACTACTAATACTACTATTACTATCACTACTATCACTACGGCTACTACTGCTATTGCTGCTACTAATGGCACTACTATTACGACTACTACTACTACTACTTCTTCTATTACTTCTCCTTTATCAGTGCTACTTATTGTAACGGTCTATCAGTACAGTACAGTAGACAACTGAAGAAAATAGACTACTACTACTACCTTAGGCATGTATACACCTGTGTCTAGCCATAGCGTCATCCTGTCACCACACCCAAACAACATTCACACAGCCCTGAAGCTTATGTAACACAAAGGACCCGCCACGCGCCGCTGTCATATCCACACGAGAACTGAACGCACACTACACCACCTTCCTCTTTTTTTTCCTGCATTTGTCCCTGTGTCCGATTCTGAGACGATTTGGGAAATAAATTTGGGTTGCTCGGTGCCTGGGGCTTGGGAGTCCAGACAAGTAGGTCAGACAGAAAGTAAACAAAAGCTCTCTCATGTATCAGGCTGCTGCTGAATGATTGGCCTATCACAGGGTTATAAAAAAGTATTGTGTCACCGCGGAGGCTGTTTAGTGAATTAATTGTGCCTTGGTATCACCGTGTGTCTGCTGCTGGCAGGTGCCGGCAGGTGCTGGACGCCTGCCAAGCCCTGTTGTTTTTAGATCATGTATTTCCCACAGTAAAATCGATGTTGTTTTGATTAGGCTCTCTGTCATATAAAAATGAAATAAGCGGTTAGTTTACATTTTTATCATACATTAGTGATGACAGAATAGCGAGCAAAGGGAGTCGTCTGGACACTCTGTTTTTAATCAGCTTTATACCTTGGACCTCTTCTGGATGAATGAGAGATGACACTATAAATACTTCGCAACATTTCCTGGGGGTGTGATGTTAACTCTAGGCTCTGCTCTGTCTGAAGCTCTGTTACCCATATTAGACATTCATTTGAGCTTTCCTTTAACACAATTTGACCAGAAAGAGCTGACTTGACTGGAACTACAACAGGGGAGATGATTTTTATGGATTTATAATAAAACCTGAATAAGGCACTCCCCCTCTGTCCTGGCTTGAGACTGACTAGTGGCCGCTCCAGATACTGCAGCTTCCAGGAGCTTGGGCTCAGAGAGAATTCTCCCATAGAAGAACGTGTATTTTTTGGGAATTCAAACTGCCCGTGTTCGGCTGACAGGTCATCCACAACTTTCACAAAAGTCAGATTTTGTAGGATTCTTCAAACAATTTTTTTTTAAATCCTCAAAGCTTCTAAAAGTGATTTTTAACAGACTCTGAGCCCATGTGGCCCATGCGCCATTGAGCACAAACCACTGAAAACAATACAGCGCCATCTTGGGTTCATCTTCCAGATTTTAGTATAATTCTGTGGCTTTAACAAGTCTCTCACACATAAAATTGCAGTCACTAGTTAGCTGGCATTAGTCAGCAGTTTTTCAGTCACTGTCACCTTTTTGTTTAAAAGCTCCTAAACAGGACCATGGACGCTCAAGACTGATCACAGGCTCCTGAAAATGTGCTGTTTAAATCCATTTAGTATTTTTCTCTCTCAGACAATCTTAGAACATTTTTGGTAGTTATTGCTAATGTTTGCATTATGTTACCACGGTAACTGATGAACATTCTGCCATAGAAATACACCCCAAGCATGATGCCACTGCAAAGTATCAGTCGACTATCAGCGATATAATTTGATGTCATTGATTCTACATTCTTTCTTAGCCTGTGCATAATGAACACCCTTTTACCTTTGGCTCTTCACTGGGCTGTAGTAGTAAGTAGTAAGTTGTAATAGCCTGATAAAAAATATACAGAGCAACTTTTCTGGTGGGAGTCCTCTGCCTGATTACCTCCTTCGAGATGTTATTTCTTTGCACGGAATGTTCCACAATATGATATTAAACCTAGTATTTGTTTGTATGACCCGTCATTGTCATTTGCATGTTTCCATGAAGATAGATGAGTTCAGTGTTATATTGTGGAAAATTGTAAATGCAGTGCAGTAAAATCTCAGTAGAAGCTTACCTGCGCATAAGATTTTAAACCTCAAAATAACGCAATTAAAAGTATCTTCTAGCTCAGTGGTTCCCAGCTTTTTTCTCCCAGCTCTATTTTATACGTCAGTGACCCAAACATAATTTTCCTACCCAAGAAGCTGTGGTCTTATAAGGAAAAATAGAATTATTTTCAGAAGTTAACAGTAATGGTTATAAAATACTCTGCAGAGGCAGTTAACATATCGTCCGTTTGTTATAATTAATACAATCTAGTTTGAGCTGCTATTCTAGGAACCACTGGGGACCCCCTGACATTCTTGACCCCCAGTTTGGGAATGACTCTTCCAGCTCACTCAAACAGTTGCTAATTAAAGGTGCACTGTCACTTTTTAGTTATGAGCCTGTTACCTGCTTGTTTTTATGGATATGTCATCATTCTCCCTGGAATGTTCCACAGTATGACATTAAATACCTCTACTTTACTTTTATTCAATTACAAAGGGCTAGCTCAGATATACCTAGAAAAACAATATTCTGATTGTGAGCGGGACGAATTTGACCTGTAACTTGGTCTAGTTTGGTCTCCATGAACTTAGAAAGCATTTGTTAGACCCTTCATGAGAAAAGTTACACACATAAACCTGCTTTTTAAGATAGTCTAAATACTTTGATAGTTCCACTTGGAGAGCAACAACATGATTCATGTTTTCCTGTCTAATACTGCTGTCTTTGTTTGGTTTGTCACTGGGTATTAGAGTATGACCCTGGTGCGGGCTTGTGACTCCATGACTGCATACCATTTTACACTGCGTAATCTGCTATGCTTTTACATACTTATTGGGTTCGTATTATTTACCAACGCTGAGTCTTGATAATAGTTATGATACTGGAATGTCATGATGCTGATTTATCCCCAGTTCATATAGACATGACTTGATAACAAATTACAGACCAAGATATATCCCAGGATTACACGGTTTTAAATAGGCAGCATCATTAAAATGCTTAGGCTGTAACGAATACATAGCAGAATTAACTAATAATAAATGAATAAGAATTAAAAAGTACAATAACATATTACAAATTAACAATAACAAAGTGATTTATTCAACCCTCTACAGCCTCATTACATAAAAATGTCAAAAATCTCCCCTCTATTAGACAGACTTTACTAGACAGACTTTATTATATCATATTACAATAACAAAGAGTAAAAAAATATAAAATAGAATAAAAATATAAAAATGGCAATAAAACCTCTAAATAAGTAGCAATACAAAATAGCATGAGATTGTTGTCAAATAAGATGTTATTATATAAATGTATGTACAAGTTGTTAAAAAAACAGCAATACAAATACTCTATATATAAAACACAGTGAACTAATGATTAACAATAGAAGTTATTTATTCATCCTTCTACAGCTGTAGTTTTGATATATTACACCATAAATCAATATTGTAATTATTATGACAGGTCTAAGTTCGTAACAGGATGTGAAGCCTTTAAAACCTTATTTCTCCAGACACACTGTCACCACCTCTTTGCACTTTCACCTACCACCCACTCATGCTGTTCAAAGCAAGCCTCTATAACTCTATAATTTATGAAATCTGAAAATATATTTACAGGGTTATGCTAAAATGCATCTGAGCTCTCTCTTGTATAATATTATGAGTTTAATTAGAGCAGTTTGGTCAGCGTTAGCAATTGGATAAGATCGCAGCTAATGAAAGCTAGGGTCACGCATCAGGGTGAAAAGTCCATGAGTTTCACCCTGTCTATTTTGGTGTCACTGACTCACTGTGACTGAAGCAAAGCACTCAATTTTTATCTTTTAAGAGTTCAGGACAGGTCAAGTGGAACATGTTTCTCTAATAAAATACTGTCATTAAAACTTAAATTACATTATTATTCAGGTAAAATTACACTACTACAACATCTGAGAAATCTGCACAAAGTGAAAAAGTAATAAAACCTTTAGGCTCTTTCTTTTGTAGATGATTCAAATGAATCCTGACTCATTGAAAACAAATGACAACCATTTTAACTGTTGATAATTAATAGCTGGACCATAGACAAATTCTAACACGTCATGTGCTGCCAAAGAGGGTTTTAATGTCATTTTGTCCTCTCTGCAGGTCACTCACCTTAATCTAGTTTTACTACATTTTATTAAAAAGATGGTTTATTTTTAATAGAAGTTTTAATGGGATGCACCAATACTGATACTGATATCAAATATCGGCGCCAGTTCATGGACATCTGTTGCAGCCAAAATGTCGGTTCTGCCAAGAAATTAATGTAATAAGACAATTTATTGGTTGTTGCTGGTCCAGCAGCTCTCATAATGTATGAGCTTTTAATCCAAAATTGTTCTGTACTTTAAAGGTAAATAACCACCTGTTAACACAGTTTGACATGCAATATTTTTTTTGCTTTTATGAAAATAAAGTCCCCACACTGGTGTCAGCTCTTTATGGAGAATCGACAGACTCTTAAAGCTGTAGTATAGAAATTGGTATCAGAAGTGAAAAAGCTGCATCACTACATCCCCAATTATTAAGACAATCCCCTTTCAGTTT